AAAAATCTTCTCAAACCAACTTCTGCAAATCCAGGAAAACACAGTTAAGCTAAAATGAAGCAGCTCATACTATCTGAACTCTGCTCTGAGAAGAAATGGGCAACTCCACAAACGTCAAAATTAGCTAAGACCACAATTCTATGGATAACTATTCAGTTGGAATACTGAGTGCAATAAGGCTTACCTCCACATAAGTGTGTATAGGACTGCAACTTTGCTGCTGAAAATAGAATTAGTGAGCCCATGAAAAAATAGATGATGTTTACACTGGTTTTTGGGCACACTTTTAAGCTTATCTCTGCATTATCAATATTTTGTATTGGTGCTTATGTCTCACACATCTTTTCATGGACTTCCCTCATAAAATTTCTTGGTTTTATGAACATGAACCAGACCAAGTTATTTCTCTGCCTGAAGTGGAACATCAAACAATAGCCTCTTTCCCAGATGACAAGATGTATCACACCTAGAAAACTCCTATGTCTTCCTTCTCTTACAATAAAATTGCAATAACACATTAAAAGCTATCAATTTCCTGTTTCATGATACCCAAAGCCAGATACCAGAGGCTGAGTGGTAGGCTACGTAAGTCCCTTCTTTCATTTTAGCTGAATCTTCTCTAGTTATGGACAAGCTCTGTTCAGCTTAAAATTGGTTAGTATTTAAAAATTCGTTGGCAAACTCTTAGGGTAAAGCTCACCTTTTCCTGAAAATCATCCCCCATTTTATAGCACTGGTAGACACACCTTGTCATATTGGGCTGGTTTGCACATCACTGTAAGTAAGCCATTACTGTGAATGGGAGCAACACAAGAAACATGGTTTTGTTTAGTGCTTAGCTTTCGTCCATGGTTGGCTGAGTGTTAAATGAAAAGCACTGACCATCTTAAGCCTTTGGTTCTTTCTCAGGACAAGTCATTTTTCATGCAACTTATTACAAAAGGCTGCACATGAGCAGGATTTCATTTTACTTTCTGAGCCAGGTCAGAACCTCTGGTGAAATGATGTTCAGTTCATAGTTTATCTGAGCAGTAAAAGCAGGACAAGTTTCTATCCCAAGCTTGATAATAATAATAATGAAAGTATCATTACTTGTTTCAGGAATCTTATTATCTTGATCAGCTATCTTCCCTCTTCTATTTCTCCCATTATTAGATTTCCTTTAGGAACAAGAATGCACTCCAGAGAAAAGCTGCTTTGATCTTAGAAAGACATATTAATTCAGAAGAGAGTGCAGTTTGATATGATATAAACTCACCACACTTAAAGTTCAACATCAAGTAACTACTCAGTTCCACAAAATAATCCCATATTATGGGATAACTCTTGCTTTTGCACTAAATAACACCTCTGTAGGATTTGTAAGTCTTTTTGTTGTTCATGAGTTAAATACCTAACAGTCAGCAACTTGGCAGATCTACTGCAAATCACCCAGATATTTACCACTAAGTCATAATATATCTGCTCCCAACTCTGATCTTTATAAAGATGTAATATGCTCTTGGAAAAAGAAATGCAATTGCAAAGTGCTGTTAGCATTAAGAATTCTATTAGGGTTACATAAACAAAAAACCCCACTGGCAAACGTTTACATACAATAATTCAACTTGTGTATTTAGGATCATTTTCACATGCATACAATTCTCAAAGCATAGATTTAAGTGCATAGATCTGCTTTCCTACAATCCTCTCCACTCCAAACTAACCCAAGAATATGGCTATCTACTACAAAGACAATGGCAGTTTATGAAGTCCAGAGCTCAGTCACATAGCAAAAGTGTTTGTCACCAAAAGGGCGACAGATAAGAACAATCACTTGTGCTTCACTCCTGGACAGATCTAGTCACTGCTTCACAAGGATGACAGCCACTGTAGGCCAACAGAAATCCAGTGTTGATCTGGGCATGGATTCAAATTCCAAACCTCCACAGGCCTTGGCTGTCATTTTGCAAGCTATGAAACACTGTGTCCACTGCTGGTTCCATCATGGTTCCCATGCCGCTCCTGCACCTTATCTTTTGCTTGTGTGGTGCACTAGTCACAAAACATGCTAGCAAGACCCAGCATTTGAACAGATTTATATGCTCCTAGGATGATGCAGAAATAGCTCCGAAGGCTGTAGCAGAGAACAAATGCATCAGTCCATACAGGCTCCTTGCAGATTACCAGTACAGAAGCTACATTATCCACACCTACATACAAAATGTAATTTCAGTGACATCCAAGCATGCCTGTGTCTGAATACACTGCATCCAGTTTCATTATATGACTATACTAGAATGTCATGAATAACTGGCTGGCATGCACGCACATGCATGCACACACCCTTCTCCCCATTTTCATAGCACATATTTAACAATGTAGTTCTGCTCAGAACTAGCTTCTGTTAAATTGCTCACAAATAAGCATCTATACGAGTCACACAAAATCTCTTGCAGGCTAAGGGCCAAATAACATTTTGGAAAAGTTTTCAAAAGACACATTTCAATGGTGGGTGGGGTTAAAAATAAAAGGAGGTGGAGCCAAAGATAAAAGGGGTGGGGCCAAAACACCAACAAAGCTGGGTTTAAAGCTTTTATTGACAGTAAATACTTTTTAGAAGAGGTATTTCAGTATTTTAGAATGGGCAAAATCTATACAAAAGCTGAAAAGGAAAATGGATCCACCAGGATATATCTGAAATGTGCCAGAAATGCACTTTTACAGAATACTAAATCAAAATTTACTTCCAAGTAAGCCTACTTATAAGGTATATGTTAGTAATATGCAATTCTGTGAGGTATGATGAAAAATTTTACTAAAAGGAGTAGTTCAGATTGAAAACAGCCAGTGTGGTGTAGTGGTTCAGAGTATGGGATGCAGGAGATCTGGGTTCTAATTCCCACGCAGCCATGAAATTCACTGGGTGACTCTGGGCCAGTTACAGACAGAGTGTTCTTGTTGTGAACTTACGACTGAAGAAGAAAAGAACTATGTAAGCTGCCCTGAGTTCCTTGAAAGGGAAAATGGTGGGAGATAAATATAATACATACATATTCTGTTCTCCGTCAGCTTCACTGGCTCCCCACTGAAGTCCGGGCCCAATTCAAGGTGTTGGTGATGACCTATAAAGCCCTTAACAGCTTGGGTCCTGGTTTCCTAAAGGAGCACTTACGTCCATATGTGCCCACCCGCCCCTTGAGATCAGCGGGAGAGGCCCTTCTCCGGGAACCCTCCGTGAAGGATATCAGGAGGGTAAGCACTCGGAGGAGTGCATTCGCTGCGGTGGCACCCAATCTATGGAATGCGCTCCCCAGAGAGGTCTGCCTGGCACCGTCGTTATTTGTTTTTCGGCGCCAGGTGAAGACCTTTTTATTTAAATGTTATTTTAATTGCTAATATTATTTATTTATTTTACTTCTTTGGCCAGGATGTCTCCAATTATATTGTTTTTATATTGTTATTATTTATTTATTGTTGTGAGCTGCCCCGAGGCTTCCGCGAATGGGGCGGCATAGAAGTTTTCTAAATAAATAAATAAATAAATAAATAAATATTTTCAGTGCAATCCTATGCCTGCCTACTAAACCCAACGGATGTCAATGAGAGTTATTCTCTGAAAAGACATGCACAGGATTGCACTATTAGCATGTCAATGAACAGCCCTCACAGTCATTAAAAAGATCAAATTACCTATTGTAACAGATAGGTAGAAAATAAATTATTAACTCTTTTAAAATGGAGTACTATTGCCTGAAAACCATTAAGCATAATTTCCCCACAGCATATAATCTGAACTAAAGCAGACTTTGTTCTCCCTAATTGGGGCCATTGTATAAAAATAATATATGTCTTTGTTTTCCAAATCATGATAGTAAGCGTTAAAGTTTACCAAAAATGCATGCCAGAAATTAGGTAGACAGACAAGGAACCTTTATTGTGAAAAAACTTCTCTAACTGATTCCCATGGCAAAGTTCGAATATGAGAAAGTTCATTTGGGGCGTTATTTATTACTGAAATGGCAACTATTAGCCTGAAGCTTCCACAGGAGAACATGAGCAGAGAACATGAGCAATAATTCAGCCGTTTTCCAATGCTGCATTCTGTACAACTAGAAAGCTTGCTGCACATTCTTTCAACAAAAGATGGTCCAGTAAAAGTCAGCCACTATCCGCGTACTTTACCCAATTGCACTATACCAACAGAACATAAATTTACACACTTACACACTATTCAACCAGTTAGTTTCCTCTCCGAGGAAAAACAACAACAGAGTCCTTGACTTTCGGGTACCACCGCATGCGGGAGGAAAGTGGGGGAGGAAATAAAAGATACATTCCCTTTCATTTCTGCCTTCTCAAGAAAAAAGTTTGGATTCCTTTCCAACTACACGAGGCAGGAACTGTGGATCTGCTTACTCCCAACTTGTTGGGATTCTGAGAAAGCAGATTTCAAATACGAGGAAAATGCAGTTTTCCCAAAACCCTCAGGAGGAAGAAGAGCTCTCCGTCTGACCCTCGCTGCTGTCTCGGGGTATTCGGAAGAGGTGGGGAGTCCTTAAGGAAAGAGGGGTGAGAATAAACTGGCGGGGCGGGGGTGAAGACGGCGGGGGCTCAGGACCCCCTCAGGCGTTGCGTGGCCTCCTCGAGTGGGATCCTCGCTTCTCACCCAAGAAAAAGAGCGGAAAGAGCAAAGACGAGAGGCGAGATCGGAAGCGCTTGCACGAGGAAAAGGCTGAAGGAAGTTTAAATGACCCCCCACTCGCAAATTCCCTGCCTTCCCTTCTCGGGGCTTTAAGGAGAGAAGGACCCAAGAGGCGGGGGAGAAAGGAGCTGAAGCTGCTTCCTTGCATTGTCTATTCAGCTGCCTCCGGCCGAGCAGCCCCCTCCTCTCTGGGTCTGGGTTTTTGTCTGCACCTTGGCTGGCCGCATCTGGCTCTGGCGGAGACCGGCAGGCGAGGGAGAAGAACTTCCCCTCAACTTTTCTCCGCGCGCCGCTCATCCCGCCGTCGGGCACTCACCGGCTGAGCTCATGGTGCCTCCCTCCCATGCGCCTTCCTCACCACCCCTGGAGCCCCTTGTTAAGGCATAACGGCTGTTGAGGAGCAGGAGGAGAGAAAAGTCCGCTGCGCTGCCCCGGCGGCTGCTGAGAAGCACAGCTTGTTTCTGGGGCTCCCGTATACCATTCCCACAGCAAAGAGGCTGCCTCACGGACTGACGGAACCAGCTTCGACGGCTGCTTGCGCTTAGCACGGATTCTGCGGCGTACCGCAACGCAAAGCCCCCTACAGGCCAAGAGCCGCCAGCACACTCACATATCATTCGGCTCCTGGCTCCCTTTCATCTTCTTCTTCCTCGCTCCGGTCGGCTCCAAGATTTCTCCAATCAGCGCAGCGCAGTTCAACAAAGGGCACTAGCCGTTCTCGTTCTTCCCCTCCCTCTCCCGCGGTGGTTGTTGGGAAGTGTAGTTTTCTGGAGGCCGCTCTTCGACTGTACGTGGGCGATTTTACAGCCGAGGCTCGGCGAACTCGGTTTCCCATCGTGCTTGGGAACAGCGGCACGGATGGCGGAGAAGGATGACACCGGAGTTTGACGACGAAGTGGTATTTGAGGTGGGTGCTCTAGCGAAAGGGCCTGGTGAAGGTTTCTGCACGTCCCCAGCGAGTCCGCGCCGCTTTTGCCCACAAAGGCGTGGACAACGGAACTGAGTCGGGGCATGTGGGAGGGGAGTTGCGGTGCTTAGAGTTTGTTCCAGGGCCCGCGCCGGTGGTTGCTGAGAGGAGGTTCTGACAGAGGGATAAGGTCCTGAATTGTGCCTTGTCTTGAAACCTCGCCCCAAAAAGGGAAGGGAGGATCAGGTTTAAGCCCTGGTTCTTAAGGGATGTGTGTTGGAAGGGGGGCATAGACGAAAGGAGGTGGCTAACAGACTAAGCCTACGAATGTCTATCTACTTGGAAGTAAATCCCTTTGAATATTGTGGAACTTACTGCAAGGTCAGTGTATGTAGATAGGATCGTGGCCTAAATATGGAAAGAAAGGCATGTGCTGGCCAGTTGGGGCTGCCCCATATTCCATGGTGGTGGCTCTCTTTCAATTTAAGCTAATTTTCAGAGGGTTAGCTGTGTTAATCTCTTACAGGAAAAACAATACTCCTGGGGTACCTAAAAGAATAATGGTTTTATTGTGGCATAAGCTTTTGCAGACAAATGCTATTAAATGCATAAATGTCATGCTGAGTTACGAGTATACATGTGCTGCATAGGTAGGTGGGGAATTGTAGTGCTTATGCCATAATAAACATAAGCTTAATAAGCTGCTGCTGGCCTGCCAAAGAGTACAAGTGAAATTTGTACTTGAGGGTGATAGATTCCTTTCCAGTCAGTGAGGCAGAAGTCATTTTATTAAAAGAAATACTGTTGGTGTTTGCAGTGTGGAGTGATAAAACCTCCACTATTGTGTATCTATATACACAACTCCCCATTTTGTAAAACATTTTACAGAAAAGGGTCAAAGATCTTACTTTTGTATAGTATACCTTGCTCCACACACTCCCCAACTTATTTATAGTCCTTCTGATGAGATGTGTAATAGAGCAACTATACAAATGCTACTGCTTTATTTTAATTATCTTGGACAAATTAGAAAATTAGGTGTGATTTTAAATAGAATATGGCATCTGGAAATGTATGAAAATGTCTTTCATGCACTTAGGTAAAAGTATAATTGAACATCAGATAGTGGACTGGTTCTGATGTTACACAAAACTATAGTATTTGGAGTTAAAAGAACAAGTGTATCCTCCCTACTTCTCAGGGATGGCAGTGAGGAAGACATTGAGAGCTTTTGTTTTTTTTTTTTTTAGATTTCCCACATTGTCTGTACCCAACAAAAATTTTAAATATTTACTGAAAATTAAAAAAACAAAAATAATGACTACAAAACAGTAATCAATGTCTACTGGATCACCCCTGTGTACATGCTTGTTTACACTCAAAGAAATCCAGTAGATTAGTGAGACAGGACATCCCCTTGTTGAAAAAAGGCTGATTTTTTTCTTCTTCCAGCAGGGCTTGTCCCTCCATGTGCTTACCGTTTCTACCTTTATAATGCCTTCAAGAAGTTTACTCAAAATGTATGTTGAGCTAACTGCCCTGTAATTTCTTGGATCCCCCCTGAATCCCTTTCAAAAAAATTGGTGTGACATTGGCCATTCTCCAATCCTCTGGATAAATTTTAGGGACATGTTAAATATTTTGGTAGGAAAGACAGTGAGTTCATGCTTGAATTCTCTGATTACCAGGTGATTTGCTGGTTTTCATTTTGTCTGTAAGGTAGAGAATTCCATCTTTTTGTGAGTACTATCTGGCCTAATTCCTAAGACTCCCTTCCAGAATACATAAGCTCAGGGGACATTTATCTATTCCCTGTCCTCTACTATGAAGACTGACAAAATGAATTAATATAGCTACTCTGCAATCACCTTGTCCACACTCAGTGCCCCTTTAACTCCATTACAGGCAGTCCCTGAGCTACAAACACCTGAGTTATGAAGAACGCATATTTCCAAATGAACTGTCATTAAGCCTGTTAATTTTTTAAAATTACTGCATAAAATCATCATCACCTTAGAGAGAAAGGAAGTGAAAGTGGAGAGAGGGAAGACCTCCAAAACATCACCATAGAGATAGAGGAAGTGAAAAAGTAGAGAGTCCGCCAAAGCATGCCTTCCTACCCCTCTAATTCAGGGAGAGAAATCTCTCTGGCATTTCCTTGCTGCAAAGAGGAGCCACTGGTGAGTTTGGGCAGTGAAGGAGGGGGTTGAGATGGTTTTCCTAATTTCACAGGTGTCTTCTGCCCCTAACCCCCACAAATGTGAAGTGCCAACTATATGTGATTCGACTTACATACAAATTCAACTTAAAGAGAAATTTCTGTTTTCTCAGGAACAGAACTTGTTCATAACCCAGGGACTGCCTGTATCATCCAGTGGCCCAACTACTTCCTCAGTTGCTTTCTTTCTTTTGATATAATCAAAGAATTCTTTATTGTTAGCTTTGCTATTGTTAACTGTGCACTCCTCAAACTGATTCTTTGCTTCTCTAATAATCTGCTTGTATCTACCTTGTGCAAGTGTGTGGTCCCATCCGTTTGTTTTCATTTGAGCAAGACTTTAATTTTTTGAAAGTTGGTTTCTTCTTCCTAATAGCTTCCTTGACTCTATGTGTGAATCATGCTGGTGATTTCCTGGGCTTTGTGTTACCTTTTCTCACTTGCAGTATGCATATTTTCTGTGGTTCTATTAGTGTTTTTGAGTAATCCCCTTTTCAGCTTCTTCTTTACCAGTTCCCTCCTTTTTGAGAAGTTTCCTCTCTTGAAGTCAAATGCAGCTTTATTTGACTTCTCTGGCACTTTTCTACCTAACTGCATCTTAAATCTGATACCAGTGTGGTCACTGTTCCTAATGGCTCAGCAACATTTAAATCCTGCACTATGACCTAGGCAACCCTGCCTAGGACTAAATCCAAGATTGCTTTCCCTTTGCTTGGCTCCATGACCAACTCCTCTAGGGCACAGTTATTTAAGACATTGAGAAAATTAATCTCTGTCAGAGATGTATTTATCCAGTCAATGTGTAGGTAGTTGAAGTTCACCATTATTACAGTACTGCCTTTGTTCGAGACCTTTCTGATTTCAATTCCCATATCAAGATCATCCTGAGAATTCTGGTCTGGGGGAATGATAGTATATTCCTTTGACTAATTTAGTTTTGGAGCCATGAATTTTCACCCATATGGCTTCTGCAGAGAAGTCATTTTAGATTATCAGTTTTGCAGGATTCTGTGTCCTCTTTAATATAGAGGACAACACCAGCTTCAGTACTTTCCTGTCTTTCTTATACAGGTTATATCCACAGATGATCATATCCCCTTGCTCCTAGTAGAGGTACTTACGGAACCATAATACGGATAATTAGTATTCCCAGCTTCCTGGAGCAGGAGGAGGTTTCTGAGACACCCTTCTCCTTCCAAGTTGAGAACACTGCCAGTGTTTTGTGATGTCTGTTTTACTTAAAATATGCCAGTGAAGTATAGGGGATCAAACAGCCATGAACTTGGAGAAACACTGTCTCAAAACAATGGACACAAGATCCTTCCCTCAGCCCCACCAGTATGTAATGAAATGCTAGTTGCCAGCAACAGTTAATGACCACTAGCAAACTGTACAGGATTCTTTACATAATGCTTATACAAAAACAAAGACAGCCATGGTAGACATCAGAAAAGTTCTACACTGCTTTATCAGGTGAGATGTTACCCAAGCAGATATGAGGTGGTGTGTTGGTAGGAAAAAAGCTACCAGTCACCCTCCCCCCACTGCATCCCCACATACACCCCAATCTGAGTTTTGTAACAGCTTGCTTGATGGGAATCTCTGAAGCTTGAACATTTTTGTGATAATTTAGTTGATCTAACAAAGGATTTACACTATATGGATTTTACAGTAATATAGTATGTCCACTGTAACAAGCTATATTATTAAATTCAATTGGCAAACCACCATTATTATTATATTGCATTTATATTTTGATTTGTTTTCTATTGTGAGAAACCCAAGATGGCTTACAAACAACTCCTCCATTCCATTTTATCCTCAAAACAACACTCCTGTGAGGTAGGTTAGGCTGAGAGTGAGTGACTGGCCCAAACTCACCCAGTAAGCTTCATGGCCAAGTGAGAGCTAGAACTGGATCTCCTGAGTCCCCAGTTCAACAGCAGTACCACACCTTTTGTCTATTTTGTCCTCTACATTTTTGTCTTCTACATTGGAGAGATTACGGGTTTTCAGAGAAATTGGAATAAATCAGAGATGATGTTATTTTATTGTGATAAAGGAAGAGAAATATTAGGAATAAATTTGAAGTTAAAATGTAGAGATTATACTCCATTTGAAGATATGAGAGAAAAGAAAAACGAGAATATGCAGATGAAAGAGATAGTGAGTAAAATTCATAAGATATTATTAGAAGAGGAGGACCAATATGATCCTTTAAAAGCAATATGGGAAACAGATTTAAGAAGGAATATGTTAATGAAGATTGGGAAATTAGGTAATGTAAGAGAATATTAAAATGTATGCCAGTAAGAATAAAGGAAAATTTCTATAAACTGGCATGGAATGGTAGCTAAACCCAGTAAAATGTAATCATATGGACTTTTAAAAATATTCTAATTTATCTTGGAGAGGTGGTTGGGGAGTGGATACATATTTGCATATGTTGTGGGAATGTGAATATATAATGTAATTTTAGAAAGTGTTTTAAAGAGAGTAGTAAAATAGTGAGTTTAAATACTTAAGTAAATCCTGGAATTGCATTATCGTCAATATTTTATACAGAAGATTAAAGAATTAATAGCAAATTTGTTAACAGCTGTGAGATAAAATTATAGCAGAGAATTGGAAAGTAGAACATGATTATCCACTGAGTGATCAATACACAGAGGTTTGGAATATAGCTATTAATGATAACTTGTGATATGAAAAGCTATATAACAATACTTTTGATGATACTTGGGGAATATTTATTGAGAATGTGTTAATAAAAGGGAAAGGCTTTGAATCTTCGTAAGATTGCTTGCAATTTTGGAAGGGGAACAGAGCCTCTTGAAGATTAAATGATTTAGTATGTATCCAGTGATCCCGGTGTTGGGATGCACTATGCTTTAGTATAATTTTAATTGTATGTTTTTCTTTCAGTTGTATTGCATAATTTTATGCAAATAAAAATATCTTCACCATTTTGTGTAGTTTTCTAAGTGTTTCCTACTGCAACCACATTTTTTTCTTTTGAGAGTTCTTATAATGTCAAAATGATGTTACTAGAAATGTTGTCCATGAACACTCAAGGGTATTTTCCTTGATGTTCTTAACTGGTTACATTTTGGAGCTAATGGAAACATTCTACATGCAAGTGGGATGCTTGAGACACCAGAACAAAATACAGTTTGCAAAAGTAACAATATTTTATTTATTTATTTATAACATTTTTATGCTGCACCCATCACTGAAGCCTCGGGGTGGCTTACAAAGAAAATAAAGAATAGAATAACATTAAAAATTTGGAGTTTCTTGACCATAATTTAAAACCACAAATAAAACAACTGATTAACAATTAAAATATTTAAATAAAAAGGTCTTGGCCTGGCACTGAAAAACAAATAACGACAGAGCCAGGCGGACCTCTCTGGGGAGCGCATTCCATAGGTGGGGCGCCACCGCAGAGAAGGCCCTCTTCCGGGTACTCACCGTCCTACTATCCTTCACAGAGGGCTCCCGGAGAAGGGCCTCCCCTGCCGATCTCGGGGCGGGAGGGCATATATGGATGCAGGCGCTCCTTTAGATAACCAGGTCCCAAGCCATTGAGGGCTTTATAGGTGATAACCAACACCTTGAATTTGGCCCGGACTTCAATGGGGAGCCAGTGAAGCTGACAAAGGACTGGGGTTATATGAGAACAACGCCCAGTCCCTGTCAGCAACCTGGGAGCTCTATTTTGCACCAACTGAAGTATCCAGACCGTCTTCAAGGGCAGCCCCACGTAGAGCGCATTACAGAAGTCTAATCGGGAAGTTACCAGTGCATGTGTCACAGTCGCCAGGCAGTCGTTCTCCAGGTAGGGACGCAGCTGATGGATCAGCCGAAGCTGAAGGAAGGCGCTCCTCACCACCGCTGTTACTTGAGCTTCTAATGTTCGCTCTGGGTCGAGGAGCACTCCCAAGCTGTGAACCCTGTCCCTAAGAGGGAGTGCAACCCTGTTCAGGACAAGGTCCAGGTCCCTCATCCTGAGTCTCGACCCACCTACCAACAGGACCTTTGTCTTGTCTGGATTGAGCTTCAGTTTATTGGCCCTCATCCAGCCCATTACCTCGGCCAGGCACCGGTTCAGCACAGCCACTGCCTCACCTGGATTGGTGGAAAACGAGAGGTAGAGCTGGGTATCATCAGCCCATCTTTGTTTCTTTCTATGTGTAATCTGATACCTGTTCATTTTTTTGACATGATTAGTCAGTAATTGTATAATACTATATTATTCATAATATATTCCAAGGGGTATTTTCCTTAAAAAGCAGCACTGCCCTCCATTAAGGAGATCCTTGTATCATTCTCATCATTCTTAACCACTTTAATGGCTGAAATATCTATATAAGCACTGGAGGGCAAAAGACTTAGGTGTATCTTTTCCTTATGCCATTTCAAAACTACCTTAAATTTGGTAGAAACAGCTTCTTGTTCAGTAGGTGGTTGCCTGATTTTGTTAAAGGAATTGGACAACACAAGATTTCTTTTGCTACCTAAGAGAGCATCTTTAAATAGAAAATAAACCGCTGTAACTCCCAGCATTCCCCATCCAATGGCCTAAGACTTGCCTGATTTCTGCCTGACTTTTAGCAGTAGTGAATAGAAGTTTTGTAGTGTTGATCCTAGTATCTTTTCTTTATTCAAAATTACTCTTTCTGGGATATTTGGCATAATTGTAACACTGTTGAATTTTGAGAAATATTCATTGCATTATGAAACATAAGCTTTATTTTTAATGAATAAGAACATTCTAGGTGAACAGTAAATTTTTCAATGATACAAAACTGCAGACTTTTGACAGTTTAGATGCTTGCAACAGTAAAATAACCCAAAACAATTGGAAAAATGATTTTTGAAATACTAACCATGATTAATGTATTCCTCTATAGTAAGGCTAGATAAAATATTAGACTATTTTACTGAATTTTGATACTAAATTCATGAAATAACTACATTATGAAAAGTTAACAGTTACAAATATAAAAGAGGCACATTACAAAATAATGCAACTTGAACAATTTAGGACAAAGGATAATACCACTCATATTCCTTTTTAGGCTTCTTTTTAGTGTACTAAAGAGGCCTTTAGCCAAAAGAAGGCACATATTCTCATTTTTGTTTTATTTAAAAAAAAATCTTTTTTCCTCTAGTTGTCTTGCGTTCATTCTAGTTCCGTTTCTGCCTCTTGAGGATGGGTGACAAAACCTTACTTGATTCATCAAAACTCCATTCTGCATCCCTGTATTTACTGAAAAAGCTGTGTGTAAATCATTGTAAAACTGTATTTACCTTCTTGGGGCAGCATGATTCTTTATTACAGATGGCCGTCCACATTTGCGGGGGTTGGGGGCACAGGACCCCTGCAAAAGTGGATAAACTGTGAATATCTCTAGCCTTGCCCCGCTAAACCTTGACTCTTAATACTGTTGACCATACCTGTACTGAATTGTTTCTCCCTCTCGCTCTATGACCTTGGTCTGATCTCCAGGCCTTGGAAGAGGGCTCTTCTTCATTTATTACTTTCTTATGGACTGCAGCCAAGAAATTAAAAGACGTTTGCTCCTTGGGAGGAAAGCTATGGCAAATCTAGACTGCATACTAAAAAGCAGAGACACCACCCTGCCAACAAAAGTGCGTATAGTCAGGACTATGGTTTTCCCAGTTGCAATGTATAGCTGTGAAAGTTGGACCATAAGGAAGGCTGAGCACCAAAGAATTGAGTCCTTTGAATTGTGGTGCTGGAGAAGATTCCTACGAATCCCTTGGACTACAAGGCGATCAAACCGGTCAGTCCTAGAGCATATCAACCCTGACTGCTCTTTAGAAGGCCAGATACTGAAGATGAAACACAAATACTCTGCCACCTAATGAGAAGGAAGGACTCACTGGAGAAGAGCCTGATGCTGGGAACAATAGATGGCAAGAGAAGAAGGGGACAGCAGAGAATGAGGTGGCTAGATGGAGTTACTGAAGCAGTTGGTGTGAGCTTGAGTGGACTCTGGGGGATGGTGGAGGACAGGAAGGCCTGGAGGAATGTTGTCCATGGGGTTGCGATGGGTCGGACACGACTTCGCAACTAACAAATAATGTTCTTATTCCCCACCCTCTCTTTTGCTCATCAGTGCCTCCACTTTGCATGGAGGAAATGCCAGAGAGATTTTCCTCTGAAAGGGAAGAAGGGCAAGATGGCATGCTTTGGAGGCTACCTTCTCTCTCCTTTTGCTTTCTCTGTATGGTGGTGACAGTTTTTCACATTAGTCTGCAAAATGCCAAAATAATTGCCATTTAATTATTGATGGCAAATTCATGAATAAGCAAATCCATGAAAATTAAAGCCCATGAAAGTCAAGGTTCAACTGTAGTCTTAAGACAACCCCCCTAACTGTACACCCAACACACACCCAATTTTATTTTCTCCATGTTATTTTCTACTTACAAGTTCCATAGAAATTATAATGGTGATCTGTTATGAGACATCAAAGGGATGCAACAAAAAACCCTATATTTTACAAATCTAGATGTTAAATTACTCTGCTAGTGGAATACTAATAGAATTATATATTGATCATTGTCAGAGTTGGAGTAAAATCAAGAAAGAAATTCAAGTTATTCAAATTATATGATCCTAAAACCTTGCATTTATTTAAATGGAGTAGCATATGGCTGTAAGGAGATTCTGAATTTTAGGTATGTGTGTATTTTTTTAATTGAAACAGAGTGAGAGCTAGTATGGAGAAAATGCAATGCTTAATAAAAAAGATAATTTTCATAATTAGAAGTGCATATAACATGTACATTTTCTGAATCACTGACTTGTATTCATTTGAGAGGGTATTTATGAGTAATTTGCTCGATAATAAGGAGGCCTGAATGATTATGAGTCAAGGGAATATGACTAAGACCTTTAAATACAGTTGCTTGGCAACTTTTTGCAAAGGATTTTATGTAATATTGATGTGCATTATTTCTTTTAGGCACTCACTTCCTAAAAGCCTTTAAGAATCCATCAGATGATTCTTGGTTCCTCCTATCATACAGTAACAGGAGTGAGTTGCTGCTGGATGCTTCTGCTGATAGTGCCAGGAAAATGTGCCTGTGCAAGAGTACAGGTGCAGTTTCTCTGACTGATGCTTCTGATTTTCTGCTCCAGTCACCCTGGAGACACAGGTAGAAAGAAATGGGGAGGTGGACGAAATTCTTTCAGATGCGTTACAAGAGTATCTGAGAGTGAGGTGGAATCACATTTTCCAGGAGACAAGGATTACATTGCCTGTAAGTTTTGTGTGTGTTTATGCATAAACTTTGCTGATATTGATTTCAGTTATTAGCTGGGTTTATATTGTTGTTACCTAGACAGAAAATGCTAGACAAAGAGAGTATCTAGATTAAGATTGTTGTTGGGAGTGTATTCTTTTATTTGTGTTTTAGCTATGGTCTTTAGCTTTGCTGTGGTTTTAGGCAAGGTTGTTAACCGTACTTTAATCTGCATGCGGTTTTTAAGTTGCACTGTTTATGTAGTTAAGAGTTAATAAAAGGTTATATCCACATTTGATGTGATAGGGTGGGAGAGGGAGGAAACCTGAAAGAGAAAGTCTTAGTCATTTCCTTTTATAATGCATCAGCAGAAATTACCTAGGTGTGGTTTTGATTTTAGCAGCTATTACAATGAATTGGGCTACTAGCTATTCACATGTGTAACTTAGTTTCAGTTGTATTTGTTAAAACAGATTAATTTTAATATTGCAGTAGTGTGACAAATGTGTTAAATAAATGTAGACATAGATAATGTGATAATAGAGAATCAATCAATAGTAAGTTAAATCTTGATTTTAAAATCCTTACAATGTTTTTCTGTAAATATCTTCTTTGTCTCACAAACTTTGATTGTTTACTGTTTTTTTATCTGTTCATCTTCTGAATTATAGCTCAAAGAGCAGTTCAGTTTTATTAAGAAATATTTGATCTTGCCAAAAATCATATTCTGGTAATATTTTTATCAGGCAAAATCAAAAACTTTTAAAATAAAAGCATCTCCAGTTCTGTGCCTCAGGTAAGATGCTACAAAAAGCAGAAGTGGGAGTAGGAACAGGGGAGAGCAAAAGCTGACTTGATGTTGAAGTAATGTAGTCTGTATGGTTAAAGTGTTAAAAAAAAGGGAAAGGGGGCTACAGGCATTCAAATTCTCAGCCTGCAAACTTTAAAATCAGCATTTTAAAAGTTCTATTTTCCCTCTTCCTGCCTGCTTCCCTGCTTAAGAGATCTGGTGACAGTTTTTTTTTTTTTCCCGATTTATCCTGCCTTTTTTCTGCAAAGGGCTCAAGGCAGCTTACATCTCCTCCTCCATCTTATCCTTGAGTTGGCTTACTTTATTAACCTAATATAGACTTGAGAATTATGATCAACATAGCCACTTTTGCATTGTATGTCAATTTTTTGTAGACTGTTCTGGGAGGCAGCTTGCTCCTCCTTCACAGGCCTTGAGTATTTGTAGTGGAAGGAGGTTATGGAACATGGGTGGGGGGGGGGGTCCTGATGAGGGATCAATTGGTGAAGTGATGGGTAGAGGGAGCTTTGGTATTGAGTGGAGAACTAGCTAGGTAAGGGAACAAAACCCAGAGAGTAAATGATAGTGCTATATTCTAGCCCTCTCACAATTGCAGATTTGGTGGTTGCCCTATCAGCCTACCCTTGAGTCTCTGGATGCTGCCTTTAAATGCCAGATCAGTGCACAATACCTCCTTCAATCAATGAGTTAATAGTGGGTGAGGTGGCTGATCTGCTATGTGCAGCTGAGACCTGTGTGGGTAAACAGGGAGGAGTTAGCACCTCCTTGCTCTGCTCACCTGGGTACATGATGCAGCAATAGAGAAGGTTAGAGGGCTGGTGAAATGGGATCTATAAGAGAAGAAACAATGAAAACAAAGCAACAGTTCACCAAATGAAGACACCAAACTAATGAAAACAAAACAATTGGTCAAGAAATTCACCAGACCTGTTAGCAATACATGTAGCTGCTATGGTCAGCTACTGATGTTGGGACTTGTTAATAACCTTACAGAAGGGATGCTGAAACTACTTTGTCCCCTACTTAGAGTATGCAAAAAGGCTGTTTCTTAGGTTTTGCCCATCATGTTGAAACTACCTTTAAAGGCATGGGAACAGGGCTAGAGAAAAGGAGAATTAAGTCCATAGGTTAAGAGCTTTGGAAGGTACAGATATAAGGGCCTATGGTGGACATAGTCTTACCTCAAGAACTGGTTCTGCTGTTACTGCAACACTATGATGATAAGTTATTACTTGCAGTTATAAAATATTCAAGTACAGTAATTTTAATGGTCTGCACAGAGAAAATTGAGGCCAGAGAGCTGATCCAAAGTGAACTTTGAATCTGGAAGTCCTTGGTTGAAATCTTGCTTCTGTCTGCAGCATGGAGATAATGTTGCACAGAAAACCTATAAGACCTATCTTATATGTTTGTTATCCATGATCACTGATATAACTAGATATACTATATACATGTATGCCATTTCACCTGATTTTTACAGGAATGTGAAGGTTAATGCCAGGACTAAAGCAATTTCTTTGAGTGGCAAAGTCCAATGGGAACACCAGTATCTGACTTCTAAGGCTCCCTTTTTCAGTGTATGCTACTTTATTTTTTTTAAGCAGAAGTAGAATGATGTTACTGACTGTTGAATGATGTATAGATATGTGTAAGGTATGTTAATTAGGAGCTAAGTGGACAAACCTCTCCCACTGTCCATAAATGTCATGCTATGACCTAGTCGTTGACCTTCATTTTCTGTGCTGGAAAAAACCTGTTTCAGAGTACTCCAAGGTGTGTAGCTTTTTTTTTTTTTTCTTCATGAATAGCAATGTCATCGGAGTAGTTGTTCCTGCCAGGAATAACACCTGTTCTCAGCAGTGATACAAGTCAATTAGAGGTTTCCTTGTTGGAACACTAGATTCCCCCTAACCATGCTATGCCATGTTGCTGTTTCACAGAAGCAGATAAAATTGGTGTCTGAGTAGCATCCACAGAGCGAGTTCTTTTTGAGTCATAGAAGAAATTTTGATCTGCTATGGAGAGCGTATACATACTGTGCTTGAGTAAATTGTAAGCATTGTGTATCAGACATATTTTATACACAAACCAATTAAAACTTACTTTTTCAGAATTCACCACTTTATCAGTACTTGCAGGACTTGGGACGCACTGATTTTGAAATATGCTCACCATTGCTGCAAAAATCAGAAGAATGCACATCCGAAGAGGGACAAAAAGACATGGATCCAAATACCATTCAGAAAGTAAGACAGTTTTGTAATTTAGCTGCTACATTAATTTTTATCTATCATACTGTCATTATTATTATAATTATCTGTTGTTTAGATTCCAGTTGTTCATCCAATTGTTAGGGTGATACTGAGGCCAAAAGTTGGGCAAAGTTCCCATTTTCCCCACTGCCACAGATTAGTCATAGTGAGCAGCAGAAAGATCCTATTTTCTTCATTCCTGTAGTTGTGGGACAACTTCATTTCAGTCTCAATTAATTATTAAAGTAGCAATCCTATCTATCACAAACAATAGGAAAGTCTGAAAGCCTTATTACCTTGTTCACATGCCGAAGCAAGAAGGATCTACCAATTAACCAGGTGTCCCAGCAAGACCAGGGAAAAGGAGGATGTGATAAATTAACCCCCGCACACACACACAAAATAGCAATGTTAACTTCTTTCTTTTATCCAATATGGTGCATTATAATTGTCAGTGCCCAACTCCTTTTGTCTTCAAGTTATCAACTCTTCTTTCCCTTTATCACTGCAAACAAGCAAGCATTGCTTCAGGCTATAGATAAGCTTTCCCAGGCTTATCTTCAAAAGGAGCAGATCTTTCCACAGGCATTGAAAGAATCATAGAATGGTAGAGTTGGAAGGGGTCAGAGGGCCATGGTTTGTCAGGCTGGGTTGTTGCCAAAAAATAAACCACCATATGGGAAGCAGTCTGGGTTCCAATGATATAGCATTTCACTGTGGTTAGTTACCCACAATGGGTTGTCATGTACTGTGAACCAAGTCACTTTGCGTTGTAAATATGGGCAAAAACTGAGGCAGTGTGGAGTTGCCTCTTACAAAGAGCCCAGGTACCTTCTTGTTACAAAGTTCTTGTGAAAAATTGTTCCGACATTTTTTTCTGCACTTGGGCACTAAAGTTTCAAAGATGAGGTTCCCACAAGGGATCTAACATGTGCATGTACCTGATAGCTAGCAATGTAGGCCAAGCATAGTGACCCCATTTAAAGTGCGAATCGTAGGGCATCTGCTAAATCCTTTTGCTGGTTGCATGAACTTGCTTTTTGTTAGAAATTCATCAGTTTTATGATACATCCTTTGCAACTAATTAGAATAAATAAGTATGCTGAGTGCTGTTATTTTCTTCCTGCCTTTCTCTTTCTTTCCTTAGCGGAAAGTTGTGCTTTCAGTAGACAGGTTCTAGCTTAGCCTTCCCCAGAGATGAGGTCCAGAGGTACTGGACTACAATTCCCACATCCTGAGCAACTGGTTGTGGAGCCTCTGGCTGATAGAAGTTAAAGTCTAAAACATGGTTGGGGAAGGCTGCTTAGCTACATGCTGAACAAGTTCCATTGTCCATAACTGCAGGATGGAAGCACTCGCAGTACCCTGGCAACAAGATTACCGTAACATCTGGTCAATGCATTCTGAAAAAATGTGGCATTTTTACTCAGCCTTACATATGGCATGATGTAGTAGAATTGCTTATGTAAGCCAGTGAAGCCAACAAATATAAAAGTTGTTAAGGAAAAATACGGACATAAATAAAAACAGCAAAACACTTCTGGTACAGGTTCATAAAATCCGGTACATGAGGATACAGTGGGTGCCTACCACTTGTGTTTATTCTTAGTCCATTTTTAATTCTGCTTCTGAGACTTTTTTCCCTGTACAGTAAAACTGCTGAAGAACACTAATTCATTGTCAGCATTGTACTAAGGGCAGAACAATACATTATGTTCTTTGTGCCCTCATTATGCTAAGGCAGGGGACATTTGCAGGTGAGAAATGGCAGAAAGGAAGGGCTCGCTTAACTCTCCCCCTCCTAATATTTTTGTGCTACTGCACTCTGGCCAGCTGTTTTCCCCAGCTGAACTCCAATACTAAACGAAATTTGGCTAGCTGGCTGGGGGAGGAATTATTTGGACTAGGTAATTGTAGGTGAGGACTGAGAAACAGAAAGATTAATCATTTCCCTTCTGTCATCACCTGCAAATTTCTGAACCATGGATGGTCTTGTGTTTAGGAACCTCTACTAAAATTCTGCCCTACTAGGTTAAGCCCTAATTTGCCAGTGATTGTAGGGCAGTCAGAATTCACTGTTTGATATAACCATTCTATGTAATATCTACAGAGGATGTAATTCTGACACTTTTGTCGTTACATCCTGGACATGACTTTTCAAATAATTTCCTCACTCTTGCAGTAATGTCCTAATGTCTAGGACATTAAGTTTCTAGACCTTTGGACAGAAATGAAAAATCTATTGAGCACACTATCATCAGTAAATTAAATACTTGCAACAGTAAGATTAGAAGAGGATGGTACAAGGGAACACAGTGGCCTATTTACATTTTGTCCTATAGTATTACTGATGACCACAGTAAAAATGCTCATACCTGCTTATTTCCAAATAATTTGTGTTGTCTAATAATTTTTCAGTAAAAAAGTTGCTAATGCTTCTTTGTTCAGTAAAGTTGTTTGACTATCACACATGGTGTCATTACCTTCGCAGGACAGTGAAAGATTCTCTACTCAGATTTAATGTAAACAATTATTTTGGGATATGTTTCCTTTGAATGTACCCATAATCGTGAAATGGTCCAAATTAAGGTATATGGGTGTGTCTGATGTTTAGAATAAGTACTTTTGCTATCTGTGGGGTGGCCCAGTTATTCATCCTGGATCTGTAGACAGGTGGTGCTAGTGTGCAGGCTTTGCTTATAAGGAACTGTCATTTTCACATATTAGCTGTCTATATGGCAGTTGAAATTCTCATGACTGTAGCAACAGTACTTTTACTATATATACTTGATGCTCACATGGCCAGAACTAGTTATACAAGCACAGCCTGGCTGCAAGCCTAGTGGCACCCTCACATCTGTCTCTCCATGTATGTATTTTAGTTGCTTTTTAGGACTACCCCTTCACAAACAAGCATTCACACCGGAGCATGCAATAAAGACATAACAGCCACAATCATACATAAACTTTCATGAAGTTTCTTTGATTACATAAATCAATTACAAATCCAGTTGAAGGCAGCTTTAAACAGAAATATCTTTGCTGTTCACTCAGAAGGCCTCCATAGAAGGAGCTTGGCACATAGGAAGATAATTTCATAATATTGGGGTCACTGCCAAGATGGCTCTCTTGTGCATGGCAGCTTAATGGAGAAGGCCTGAGAAGAACCCACTGGGATAGATTTTAGTGTAGACGCAAGTTTGTACAGATGAGGGTACAGTGTTACCACAAACCATATATATTTTCATATGAAAGGGCTATGAGAACCAGTGTGGTGTAGTGAATAAGAGCATAAGATTTGTACTCAGGTGATGTGGGTTGTAGTCCCTGCTTAGCCATGGAGCCAACTGGGTGATTTTGAGCCAGTCACAGACTCTCAGTCCAACCTACCTTACAGGGTGGTTGTTGGTGGGATAAGATTGAGAGTAGGAGGAAGAGACTGATGTAAGCAGCTTTGGGTTCATTGTAAGAAAAAGGTGATATATAAATATAATAATAAATATGTTTATTTGTTTGTTTATTTAAAGCTTTTATGAACAGATTAGCAAAAGCTCTCAGAATGGTGTACAGCAAAAATAAAAGCATTATAAAACATAATACACACAGATTGATGTCAGCCAGACATTTAGAACCACTATCAAAATGTAACATCATAAACAGCCATAACAGGTAGATAATAATAATACATAACACAAAATAATACCAAATTCATTGTATGCAAATGACAGTATAAAGAAAAACCAATATAAGATCAAATATTAATATTTAACAATTAAAATGCCAGGAAAATAAAAAGGGGTTGACCTATGCTGAAATATATTAAGAGTTGGCACTAGGCATACCTCCCTTAGGTAGATTCCACCATTGTATATGCTAATTTCAAGAGAAGCAGCTCACTGTTGGCTTGCTAGGAAGGTTTAACATAATATAGTAGTTAGAAGTCCCTTGTTGTGATCTGCTGGGAAGAGAAAAGGCGAGAGATTGGTAGAGATACCAGCGAATGACATTGCTGTTATTACTTAATATCCATGCTTTTGCAAATCAAAAATCAATGAGTTAATCACAGAGCAACAGTGATACATGCTCTGGTAACCTCCCAGTTGGATTACTGTAACACGCCCTACATGGGGTTGCCCTTGAAAACAGTCCAGATACTTTAGCTGGTAAAGAATGGAGCTGCCAGGCTGCTGACGGGGACCAGTGGTGATTCGTTATTCTCACATAACGTCGGTCCTCTACCAGTTCCACTGGCTTCCAGTTGAAGTCCAGGCCCAATTCAAGGTGCTGGTTTTGACCTATAAAGCCCTAAACGACTTGGGACCGGGATTCCTGAAGGAATCTCCTTATATGCCCTCATGCCCCTTAAGATCTGCGGGAGAGGCCCTGCTCCAGGAATTTAAGGAGGTAAAAAGGACATCTACTCGGAGTAGGACCTTCTCTGCAGTGGCTCCCAGACTGTGGCATGCATTCCCCAGAGAGGTTTGCCTGGCACTGAGCCTATATGCTTTTTGGCACCAAGTCAAAACCTTTTTATTTAAACGTAGTTTTAAAAATTAGTATTTTAATGGTTTTAATAGTCATTTTTGATTTATTTTTATTGGTCATATATTGTGTTATTATATTATATTGTGATACTGATTGTTTTATTGGACTTTGATTTTAATTGTTGTAAGCTGTCGTGAGATAATATACATAAAGGAGAGCATATAAAAGTTTTAAATAAGTATGTGTGTAAATGCAGTGACATGACTTCTGGCAGATCTTCTTGCATAAAAGCATGTTGAAAGTAGTTTAAAAGACATAGGATCTAATGGAATAAATATATGCATGGTCTTGTGATTTTTAGAACAGTTGTTTATATATTTTTTTTCATTCTTTATAGAAAGACATCCTGTCAAACCTAGCTGAGAGTTTTATAAGCTGGCTTCCTTTTTTACCATATAGGAAAAAGGAGGATATGCTCCACCAGTTGGTGAGAATCCTTTATTACATATCTGTCTCCTTCCCAGACAATCTTTTGTTTGATTCTTTAATAAATTATTTTCTTTCCACGTTTTCTAAAAGCTAGACTAATAGGTTGTAGCTTGTTCTACATATTATATAATGATCTAAAGTATTTGACAATCAAATCTGTATTAGAAATAATTACATTAGTAAGGGAACCAAAACTCAAGGTTAACATAAATTCTCCTATTCTCATAATAGAAATGACAGTGTAACACACAGGGAGTGCACCCACCTCTTTTTTCTAAACTCATTGCTAAATTACATATAGCTATGTTTCTATCTATCAAGTTAATTTTCCCAATCTACTTGTATAGCAAAGTAGTTTAAAGTAAAGAACAGCTAGGTAGCCGTTATTGATTGTTCCCATAGAATTGCAACACCTTTGGCACAACTTCTAATTACCATGCCCTACTGCAGTTCTGTGTGCCTAAGCACATGCCTCCAAAACAATTCTGGCCTGAGGAGGCTCATGACCTCCCAACAGGGATGCTCACTAGGTGATTGCTTCCCACCCACCTTAAACACACACACACACACACACACACACACACACACACACCCCTCTGTCATATGTGATCTCCCTCCAGTCTTCCCCACCCCAACACACTACCTCCTCCATCCTGGCTGAATTTTACCTACCCTGTGAACTTTCCAGGTTGAGGGAAGAGCAGTGGGCACTGGCAGGAGCAAGCTACTGGGAGGTGGTTTCAGAGTTCCCCACTCTAACACATTTCCTTTCAGCACCAGCTTCTTGAAAGAAGAAAATGGCACTTCTTTTTTCTTGTCAGTATCTAGAACTGAACATGCCAAACTGTAGGTGCCAGTTTTCCCTCAGATGCCTCTGGTCCCCAAAATAACATTGCTATGTTGTGGGACAGGGCCCAAAGGCATTAAAAAATCCTTTCTGGATCAGATCAATAGTCCATCCACTACATACATACCATGACAAATCATCTCCACAGGATCCTTCAACCAGGATGGGTGCAAGACTTCTGCCTGCCCAAGCTTCTCAACAATTGGTATATGCAGGCACACCACCTCTGATAATGGAGGTAGCACATCGCCAGCAAGGCTAGTAGCCACTGATTACTTCCCTCTCCATGAATTTTCCAATTCACTTTTAAAGCCATCTAAATTGGTGGCTATCACTATTTCCTATGGCAGCAAATTCCATAGCTTAACTGAACGTTGTGTGAAGAATCCACAAGAAGGAGAGATTGTGGCTACTGCAGATGTTTGAGCTGGAATTTCTCTTTTTAGCAATGGCCTTAACACATTAAATACATATTTTTAAAGCTGGTGTGGACTCTCCAAAGCACTTGCCCAATGGTGCTAGTTGAAGCCACCAAGCCTGAAATAAATGCAGTTTGCTTCCCTACTTCCACTTCCCTCCTATTCGCTTGTTTTCCATGTGTTGATTTTTTGTTTGTAAATTCCTCAGAGCAGGAAGCTCTTAATACCCTTGTAAAGGGTAATGTATTCTGATGGCACTATACATATACATAACAATAACATAGAAACCTTTGCAGAGCAATGGAAAATGTTTATTTGAAAAATGCTTATTTGTGTGAATGTGCTCAACTGATACTATTTTTCTACTTCCTTCATATTTAGGATGTTGGATTTCGTTCGGAGGCTCTCTGTACCATCCTGCAACAGGAAGTTCTGCTGCAAGAGGATGTTGAACTGATTGAGCTTCTTGACCCCAGTATCCTGTCTGTAGGGCAGCCCAAGCAACAGGAACATGGACACCTTCCAAAATTACGCTCCCTAGCAACTCCTAATATTTGGTATTACCTTGAGCTGTGTGCATGCTATGTGAATATAAGTCATCTTTTTCTTCAGTTTATGTGGCCTCCCAATGAATAGAAGTTATTTTTTCTGTATGATTATGATTACTCTCTGCCCTATCTCATAGCTTTGGGTTTTGTTTTACTTCCATGTGTTCCTTGTTAACCTGCAGAGCACTGTTTTTTTAAAATTTATTTATATTGATCGCAAGACCATTCTCCTGGCTTTTAGAAAGAGCCAGGGCATAATAGTTTGAACAGTATTAAGTACAAGCAGCTGTGTACCTTGGTCCTATTAATAGTGGGATTCATGTCTTGTCTTGTATTGATCCTAGTACTATGACAATTGAACAGCCCTCAGTATTAACTTTTTCCCTAAGGAATGTATTCTAGCCATGTTGAACACACTTTTCCCTTTGATCATACTGTTTTGTAACTAAGGATTAGAGTGAACAAAATTGTACCAATTCTCTGCTTGTTTGCATTTTGCTATGTCTTATTGGAATAATTTTGTCTTCTGAGGAGGCCCACTGCACAACAGAGGAGAGCAGCTTGTGCTCACCACTGCCCTGTAATTCTGCATGTGGGAATTTTGTAGTATTTCAGTACTTTGATCATTTTATTTGTTTGTCTTTTCATTATTTTAATTAGCCATGCTATATTTGTTCTAATGTTGTCTGGTCCAAGATTTCAAAAGGTAGTCTTTGGTGAAAGCAATCAAAAAAGCAAATTTCTCACAACTCAAAATGAAAATGAAAAGAATTGAATTTATTAATTCATTCTCTGACACTTATCTTTACTTCAAATAGAATAGCCATTCATGCAAAGACCTGCATTTTGAAGCAATTTCTATAAATAACAATTTTGTAAACAGAACAAAAAGAACTTCAGTTGAGCTAAGCTTGCTGCGAGGCATAACACTAATACAGTTTCAAAAAATATAATGAGCAAGCAGGTTGAAATCTGCTTGCAAATACGTTATTCAGATTCAACTTTAAAAATGCAGACAAAACACCTTTAGAATCTGATAATCGGTATATTAGTCAGAAACTAGAAATACAAATCTGTCATTACTGCAGGGTTTGCTTACCCTGAAAAACCTTGCTTTTTCTACTGTCCTTAAAACCTAGAAAAGCATTAAGTTGCAACTCTCCTTTTCTGAACATGTATTTTCCAGTGGGTATGTTTAAGTAAGTTGTCATAAGGGATGGCAAATAAAAGTTTTAAATAAATAAATAGCTTTGTATCAGTCACTTGACTTAGCAGATATCATTAACAGAAATCTGTTTTTAATTGGTAGGTAAAGAAATTAAAGCTTTAGTTGATTCTGTGAATCACTAAAATTCACTTTGCAAGTTAAGAACATACAACAAGAAGTGCTCTACTGCAAATGATAGAAGCTATACATAGGATTCCTCTTTAGTGGATTGTCAGCTGTAATTTATTATTAATTTTAGAAACTGCACTAACAGTTCTCCTTAGGGTTGCTGTAGTGCAGCCCTGGATGGCCTTATTTCCATGTCATCCAAATTGTACTCCAATTATTCAATCTGAAAATTATTTCATATAGATTTTTTCTATTTTTAAACATTAAATATGGCTATGGCATATATATGGATTGACTCCATAAAGGAAGCCACAGTCTTAAACTTAGAAGAGCCTTGGATTGGATATTTTAGAGGGCTTTCATAAGGTTACCATCTGTCAGAGACAACTTAACTGCTCATAACATCAAGATTGGCCAGTATAGGAATAATAATACAGCAGATTTGTATGCAAATTAATTTATCAGAAGGCTTTTGTATGCAATTGACAAATGGATTTAAATTGGAAGGAAGTTGGAGAGGTAATTGAACTAGATTGACTTCTGAATAGTATTCTATATGGGATATTTTTTGCTGAAAAACTAGCCTCAGATATGCCTTTTTAATCTGAACTATTAGAAATGGACTATATTGCAGAGATTTTGTAAGTTGCTCATTTTAGTCAGCACACCTTCAACCTGCCCTCCGGGTATAAAGGACTGGATTAGCATTGATAAGGCTTAAAAAGAAAGGACATATTTTCTACACCAAATAAAACTTGAAATAGAAATAATGTAAACTGCTTTTACTGCCCAGTCACAGCTGTATTGAAATTCTCAATTTCTCTGTTTCTTTCTGTGGCCAGTGCTTAATTTCTGCAGTGGATAAAAATTAATTCCATTCCTAGCATAGTGAATTTTAACTCAGCATTTCTGTGGATAGCTTGTTTCTTCCACATAACAGTCATTGCTCTAACTTCCCTCATTGAAATGAGGGAAAGACCAGTTTCTCACAAGCCATTAAGCAGAGTGCTGCCTGCCCACTTACCTTATATCCCTCATTCTAGAAGTGTTACAGCTTTTGCTGTTGTTAATAATGAAATACTAAACCTGGATTAACTGTAGTAAAAATGGTGGAAAGGGTTGTTCTGATGAAGAATTGGAATCCAAGTAAGCTAATAATAAAATACACTTAAGCTGACATATCCAAAATCTGCCCCTAAACTGGTAAACAGCACTCTTCCAACATGCAGCAATCCCAGGTGTGGTTCATGTTGCCTTATTTGTTTTGCAGGGATATTGCATTACTGCTTGTCTTCATCAGCACACTGACTATGGTTCCTTCTGTTTGGAATGGTTCCCTTGGATTGGTGTGGGGAGCAGGATTGCTGGTATACATAAGCTCAAGAGGTTTGGACATTCTGAGGATAGCCAAGTTGCAAATGTCCCTTAAGAAATGCCATCTCCAACTTGAAGAAATAGTGGCTAATTGCCGAGCCTTCACTAACCTTGTGAGGAAAGCTCTGCGGCTTATTCAAGAAACTGAAGTCATCTCCAGAGGATTTACTCTGTGAGTCTGAATTTTAGGTTATTTTATGAATTGTCATAAAATACACACACACATGCGCACCAGTCAAATGTTAACAGATAGTGAAGAAGCTTTTCCTTTAAATGTTTAGATCTAAGATTACCCTCTCCCATCATATTTACGGGATATATTTATGGTATCTGGATAGACAAGAGATAATGGGCACAAATGTGACTTACATATTTGCCATCATGGCGTTAGGCATGGTTTTTCAGGAACTTAAGCAGTAGAAGGCAGTTGCAAAATAGACATACACTGTTAAGTTTCATAGGTATTGCATTTGTGCTCTCACTAATTTATTGTAAGCCGTCCCAAAACATTTGTTGGGGGAAGGGTTAGAAAAGCTTTAAATAAATAAATAAATAAATAAATCTTTGATAGGAGTACAGAAGAGAGAAGAGATCAGTAACTACATTTAATAAGATTAATGCAATTTTGTGTTAAAGTATAAAGATTATTAAACATGCATATGCAATTAAAGGCATGGAAAAACTCAGAGGAAGCAGTTTATATTTTCCTACCTACTTGCTACCAAGTATTTCAAAGGGATTTATGCCTAATTTTATACAAATGATTTTTATGTATAAATATAAATGTATTTGATTACAAATATTCCAAGTACAGAATATAGAAGAATCTCTTTAGGACTAATTTTCATTTTATAAATGTGAATCCATTTAATGTATCAGGTTAATTCAAAACTCTATTTTGGGTTGTTTTCTTCAGTGATATATAATCACTGAGGGTTTGGAGGGTCTGAGATTACTCTAATATTTAACATTTAGGATATTATGCAGTGTGTAGAAAGCCTCCTTTACCCCCACTTACCCTAATACTTCCTCAGAGTTTTTAAACTTTACACTTCTTCAAATAGCATTTCAGATATTGTTTCTAATTCTGCTTAAAAATACTTACAGGAATTCTTGCAGTGAGTTGTGACATTTTAAGTACCTTAATTTTTAAGGCAATCAAGATTTTAAGTATTATTATGATGATTATTAATAATAATGTTATGAATGTACATTTTTTTGTCTTCAAACTTTGCCCTTCTCTATAACATATTTCACTATGTATGTTGATAAATGGAAAAAGCAAAAAAGCAGTAAATGCCCACATCTCACGTTGCTTATATATCCCATATAGAGAGAACACTTTCATGTCTGCCTAAAAAGCATGTGCTTTTAATGCTTAATCAACTGCTTGGTTTGTAATTGCAAGTGGCTACATGTAAAACTGAAGCTGTAGCTGCCTTACAGATAAAAACTTTGTAACCAAGGATGATGTGGCGTAGTTGTATTTTATTGACAATTCCTTTTGAATGTTAAGACATGTTATGAGGCAGTTCAAGGGTATTTACAGATGGAGGACTATAGCACTATTCAATATTCTTTAATTATATTTTCTGGTAAGAAAATACAGAAGCAGCAGTGGAAAAACAGGATGGCTACAAATGAAGAGGAAGTCTGGAGCTCCTTAAAATTGCATAATGTAATTGCGCAGTAAAATTCTCAAGTAGAAGCACCTCTAATCTATTCTTGACAAAGCCAGATACAATTAATAGTTAATTGTTAAAATAGTACAATGTTAGCTGAGGTCTGAAGAAGCCTGAGGCAAAGGTTTTTCCTTAATTTTAGCAGATGAACCTTGGGAACGGAATTGTCTTGCTTTCCAGCTTTGAAAACTAAATCAGTTCAATCCATTTGAGTGTTAAAGTAAACAGAATGCTTTTCCATTTATGTAACAGGAATCCCCAATTTACACCCTTCCTATTACAGTCCATCATTACCTCTTGTGGTATTCCAGAGGCTCTCTAGATCCTCAGGATCATATCTGGAGGGAGGGGATAATGAAGGTGAACTGTAAATGGATCTTGCGGAATCAGTATATTGCAGTACTTAGGGTTAGACTAGGAATGGGGAGGCCCAGTTTAATTTCCCTGCTTAGTCAGGAAGTTACTTGATTCCTTGAAAGAATGACTTTTGTGCTCATCGTTCTTAGAATTCTTTCTAACTTTGAAAATGTATATATTCACTTTTCAAATGAATGTTTCTCACGGTGACTTAAAGCAACAGCAAATACAATACGTACATATACACACACACCAGTAGCCTGTGTTCCACTGGCTGATGACTGAGAACCAGAATTTGTTTCCTTTCAGTTTTGTAGGCATGAGGGAATGCTGCTTCTTCTTAAGCAAATGGATAGGACTGGGTTGGTTTCCCCCTTGCCATAATGTTCTTCATGAAAGACAGAGAATGGCAAAACCATTTCTTTTTGAAGACTAACAAAATGGGACCTGTAGATTTAATGGAACTGTGAAGACTCATATCATTAACAAATAGAAACATCATATATAAATCTTATTTCTAAATATAAAAATGGTCTTAAATATCATGATAGGTATTCAGTTTATGTGAAATAACATTTCTATTAGCTTTAATACTGAGCTTCATGGTAAAACTCTGCATTGAATTTTATCCTTTACTGCTAATTTAATAATTAGGCTCTTACTCAGCATTCTTAATTTACCAAATAATGAGAGCTATCTTTCATGTTTCTCTATTACATGAAATGGGGAAAAAGTAAGACTACTATTTTGTGATATTGTATTTCTGTTATTCTTTAGGACATCAGTACAGTTGTATCACATTTTACTTTTCAAGTTTGCTTGACAGGGTCAGTGCTGCTTGCCCATTTAATAAAGCTGGACAGCATCATTGTCAGCATCTCATTGGTCTGCGGAAAGCTGTGTACCGATCAGTAAGAGCGAACTTCAGAACTTCAAGGCTTTCTACCTTGTACATGCTGAAACAATATCCTTTTTGAAATCTGCCATGCAGGAATCACATATATTTTCATAATAAAGAACCAAAGATTGCTGGACTGGTTTTTATTTTTTTTAATCATGAGAAGTTACCTGGTATGGAGTTTACTCTGTGTGCATCTAGCATGCTATATAAATGTATAAGGCCAATTTTGTTTCTCTTTTGCTGTTTCAAATGTGCAATCACATCTTTTCTTAATAAGCCACAACAGGCAGTTCTGTTTGTCTGATTATAATTAGTAATTTTATTTCTATACTGCCAAATAGCTGAAGCTAGATAGTATACAACAACCATACATTTTATGGAACATACTTTTTAAATTATAATTAATTATTTTGATAAGTGCAGTTATATTTTATCATTTTAGCTGTACTTGAGCATTACACTTAGCTAAATGTAGAAATCAAGTAAACAGGTCATTTCTAGGGTCCTTTCTTCTAGGGAAAGGACCCTAGAAATGACAAAGGAAAATTGAAAAAGGAAATGGAGAAAAGAACCTGGTTTCAATGAAAGAGCTCAAAGGATTCTTTTCATAGAAAAAAATGACACAAATGAAAAATATTTTGTTCTATAACTTTGAAATACTGCAACTGACAAATACAAGCAAAATGGAGAAGTCTATTTTTAATTAATATACAAGTAAGGAAAAAGCATTTACCCTGCTTTTTCCCAGAAGAACTTAAGACAAGTTACAAAAATTAAACATAGCATACAGAAATTTTACAAAAATTGAACAGTGTATAGGCTAGAAGAACCTTACTTATTAGGATTTTCTGTTTATTAGAAAGAGTACCCTGAAGCACTGATAAAGTTCTTAATGTCTTTATTTTTTTTACTGTTGATTTTCATTGGATTTAGTCCTAGATTGCAGCCCTAGTCAACTTTTCATTCCTTAGTAGATACTTCATTTAGTTAAACACTTATACACATTGTATTGTGTTTATGTTTTTCATAAGATTCATAATATTAATGTTTATATGATTTTGGTTGTGCTCATTTTAATATGGGAACAAATTATTATATTAAATAAAATATTAATGCTTAAAGATAAATGCTGACAGCTTCATTTTTGTGGGTTGCTTTTTGTAATCTGCTACTCGAAAAGAAAAAGCAAGTTTTCTCTAAATTGGACAAAACCATACACCAAATCACAGAAAGTTTTGATGTCTCCCCCACACATCCTCATTTCTGTAACTTCCTTTATACCTTTACATGCTCTCCACTAGGCAAGGCTGTCTGGTTCATTCACTTGTTTGAACTAAAGAAATAATTATCTCTTCCCTGTGAATACATTACATTTTTTATAGCTGATTGTCCATGTTGCATGTAATACAAAAGCTTCTTTAACTGCCTTAACAATAACTTAACTTACCCTTTGAATTCTGAGAGTGACAATGTAACAAACTACATCTGTGTGGTGCCTTTTAAGGAACTAGGACTAGGACTAAGTGAAGAGCAGGTGTCAGAAGAAGAAGCACACAATTTCACAGATGGCTTCAGCCTGCCTGCTCTAAAGGTAATGTAACATTCAGATTCATTTCCCTGTGTTGCCGTAATTAATTTCTTTTTCATTCACATCTATGAGTCTATAGTAAGGGCTAACATTAGATTCAATTGCATAAATATAGCATCATCTGCCCTTTTTTTGTTACAATTTTCAGTTAGTAGTAATGGAATAAAACAAAATGACCTGAATTATGTTAATCTAAAAAAAACCCACACAGATATTCAGTTCTCCAGAACATTTTAAGCTAAGTCTAGTGTTGTTTATGTTAGATCCAAGAGTAGCAGATATTGGTGTTTGAATAGTGGACTGTTCAAAGAATCTTTAATTTTCAGAATTGGAGCAACAATGTTTTCAATGTTTTCTTGGACTTTATCAAAATAATGCAGACTACATAATATATCAACAGATTAAACATCTGTAATTGACACATATGATCTTATCAAATTTTTCATATTTTACTAATAAATACTTTGTAAATAGATGGGCTCAGGCTGGGTGGATGGATACCACCCAGCTTCCAAAGTGCTAGTCTCTGAAAAAAAAATAAAGGCATTACTATAAATTGTTGCTATAGGATCTATACCATACTTGATCTGGAATAACTGATTTAGTTTGCTTTAGGCTTTCTACTCATAGTTGGTTATCACTGTAGATTTGCTTACAACATGTTTATGAGAATAGTCGATTCCTTTTATAATAATAGATTGCGGTATCTTTTCTCTTAGGTTTTATTTCAACTTTGGGTTGGGCAAAGTTCTGAATTCTTCAGGCGGCTAGTTCTACTGCTGTCTCCTTCTAATGCACCTGCCAAGACCCTGATAACACCAGAACGTTTGCCTCTGTATATCTTTTCTGATGTGACACAAGGTCTTCCTCATGCTCATGCTGCCTGCTTAGAAGAACTTAAACGAAGTTATGAGTTTTATCGGTACTTTGAAACTCATCATCAGTCAAGTTTGGAACGTCCAGTCAAAACTGAACAAAAAACAGGACAGCTAAATCATCTTCATACAGCAGTGCGCAGTCTCCAACTCCATCTCAAGGCCTTACTGAATGAGTAAGTTTTCTGAGAGTTAATTTCTCTCTAGTTTAATTCTATTGATTGACTTAAAATAATGATAACTTGGAAATATATTGTTGTAGCCATTAATTGTTAATAACTACATCAAACTATATCAAAGCAGATGCTATTGTGATGTCTTTCCCTTGTTCTGGTTGTTACTTGATCAAACTAATTTAAGTTCAGTAAGGAGGGAAAAACAGTTTTCCTTCAGCAAATACTTATTGCTATAGTGGTCAAAGAGCTGTATCTTTATAGTACTGTAAAAATAAGTCTGAAAGCTTGTTACACAGTATGTGGAGCTGATTGTGTGAGAACTGCAAAGAGGTCTGATGATTGAGTAGAGCACATGAAAAGTTAAGGATCCAGTCCAATATCATTATAAGTGTTGAAGCCTATCTATTTTAATATTTTTTTCATGAAAATCAGTTGACTTAAAGATGCTGTGAGTTTGCTGTAATTTGATAATTTACTGAATTATTTTCCTGAGATTTCCTAAGAAAATCAATATTTACCTCTAAAGAAAATGTGTGTAATGAGTTTTTTTCTGAAAAATATATAGGTTTGGATCTTACCAACCATTTGCTTTTTCTGCTGGACTTGACTAGAAAAAGCCAGACATAGTTGCACGTTCATAAACCACTTTTTCTATAGTGAGATTTGTCAACCATGTAATTTACATTAACTCTTCATCAAAGATATCATTCAAAGCAGAAAATTCTGCCCAAAGCAGAAACATCCTGCTGAAGATGTATTATGCTGCAAGACTATACATATCTTCTCAAAAGTAAGTCTTACTCAGTTTAATGGGATTTGCTCCCAAGTAAGTGTGTTTAGGATTGCAGCCTTAGAGGTGTATAGCCATTGAGTATAACAATAACTTTGACCTCTGGTCTTTAACTTACATTGTTTGCAAGTCTCTAAGGATTCTAGTGAATCTTAGTTACACTGCTACCCAAGAGTTTTTTTTAGATAGATATTCAGGGAAATGAATCTATGGAATGCAGGCAAAACACATGTTCTACCACTGATCTTCAGCCCATAAGAAGAATTGCTGTTATTGTTGCTGCTTCTAAGTATTCATAGATTTATTCCTAGGCTTCCTTAGAACCCAGCTGTTAGTCACTGTGTATTGCAAGTGGCCTAGAAATGCTTCTTCTGCGGCTTGGATTATATATATGAAAACAACTGTCACCTTTTAGGCCCTTTCCAAATGCTTCTAACATATTGATATCCTGTATACTACAAGAGGTAGGTCTCCCTACTGCACAAGACAGATTTAAAATGGGGGGAAAATGTCAGAGCCTCACATAAAAGTGAGATAGGTATTTGATGTTTATTTTTGTTTTTTTGCTTGTTTGTTTAGAGTAATAACCCTTGAGGATGAACTTGAGAAGTTTATTAGTTCCAAGGAAAGCCAAGAACTAACTTCAGAAGCCTACCAAGTTGTAGAAAAAAAACTGGAACTGATTCAGCCTCATATGCAAGCTAGCAACAGCTGCTGGGAAGAGGCTATTTCTCAAGTGGAAAAATTGATTAGAAGAAACCCAGATAAAAATGGTATGTTTTCTTCACAAACATGTAAGAATCCTTTCAGAAGTCTATGCAAACTCAAAAGCAGAAGACACATTAGAGCAACCTTGGGTGCATGTACCCAGCTTACTCCTGATAGGACTTAGGAGTAAGGAGCCCTTAGCTGTGACTTTCACAATTATGCAATTAAGAATTTGGATACCCAGTTAAATGAGGACATTCTTGGCTATATGGAATTTTTCCGTGCTGTCAGATACTATCAAATAACAGGCAGGCAATTTTGGCATTTGCCGTTTGATTATTTGGCTTGTGATGGGGGATAGTTTATATACATGTAATTGATTTCAGTTCTGTTATTTTAATCAATTCATTTTGGAGTGTGGTGCAAGAACATGTCTGCTGTAGATACTTTAATTAATATTTCATTATCTTCAAAAAAGGCAATAAAGTAACATTTCTGGTCTGAGAAATAAAAGAGACTCTCTCCCAGTCCAACACTTGCTATTTCTCTCCCAGTCAGTTTGGGCAATCATAGCCCAGCTTGTTTAGCCAAGATATGCACAAGCCTTTTGATTATGCACTCTAGGAGGTAGAAGCCATGATTAAATCTGGATTAGAGGTTCCTGGTTTGTGAAACTGGGAAACTATAGGAATCAGCTTTGGTAAAGGCCAAGATATTAAGCTAACTGGGGGTTGGGTGGGAAGCCTAATTTGTAGTAGATCCTGAATAAGGACAGATACCAGCAGTGTTTTGATCCTGACCAAAATCTAATTGATGGGTCTTTTTAGAAAAATAATTAATTAAAAATTAATTAATCTGAGACCTACTTTCTCAACTGCTTATGTTCCTGCCTCCAGGTAAACCAAAACCAACATGTGAGAACAAGCATTGCACTGTGATACCCTTACTACAACCAGGTGTGCACATAGAAGATAAAGACCCAATTCCTGAAGAACAGGTAAACTACTGTAAAGTCCTGAAAACATACTCTAAGTTGTAAGTACTTTTGTCCACCCACAGCTGTATGCACAACAGCTGGGTAATGTCTTTTTTCTAGTGAAAAGCTATTTCTGTTGGAATTGCAGAATACATAATTATCAATAGATAAAAATTTTATGATAAAAATATCATAAGTTCTCTTATGAACCACATGGTGGAGCTCCCACTGTAGCTGAAAAACATGTTAAATTCACACAACTACAAAATGTGCATAATTTAGGTTGCAGTTCTTTACACATTTACCAGAACAACATCCCACTGAATTCACTGAGACTTACCTTTGAGTAGACATTGCACTGTTCACTTCAGAGCTGAAGCAAAGTTCTATAATAAACGCAGCACTGCTTGAGACAAGGCAATTAATTGTTACATTGTTTCAAACAAATGCAAGAAAGCACTTTGCTTCCTTGTTACCTTCTGTCATTCTTGAAAGAACTATTTGACTCATGTCCCCAACTCTATTTATTTGCAGCTAGAAATGAGGCACTTTGAGAAACTGCCCTAGAAGGCAGAAACATTGAAAACTATACTGAAGTATGTTTGCCAGAACCCTAAGAAAGGGAACATTCAGTGAACAGATAACTAAAGCAACCACACAGTCCCAGGGAACTATACAACATACTTTTATTAAACATATAGAAAGACACACGGTGGATAATTGAAGGGTATATTTGAAGGGATTACCCCTTTCAAAGTTTCTGATGTCAGATTATTAATCAACTTATATGCAAATACTACTTATCACATAACAATAGGTGGACTCTTCCCAAGGAGTGTTTAATCCAACTGGCCAATAAAAGGGTAGGAAGAAGGAATTTAGGATATTCTGTGCACCTTGGATGTAAGCTTCTGATATTGCTTGGATGAGCATAACGTTAAAGCTACAAAGTATTGAAGAAAGTGAGATATCATTCCATGTTTGAGAAGATCAGCAATTTCTGTTGACCACTTTTGTGAGTCAGCAGTGTATAAATCTGAAACCGAATGACTGACTTTAATTGGTTCACCTTTAAATATGAAATGGAGTTATTTCAGAATTTCCCTTTGACCTTAAAACTAAATTTGGATCTCAATTTTCCAGTATAAATCAACAGAAATCAGGAAGATCAGTACCCTGCAGGATTTGGGTAGCATGTAGATCAAACCAGATGTTTGTTGACTTTTTCCTCAGGAACTTGAAGCATATGTTGATGATACAGATATAGACAGCGAGTATAAGAGAGATGACTTTTATTACTTTTCCCTGGAAGACAGAGAGAGACAAAAACGTGAAAGAGAAGAATCCAAGAGAGTGCTGCAGGAACTAAAATCTGTGTTGGGATTTAAAGCTTCTGAGGCAGAGAGGCAAAAGTGGAAGCAACTGCTATTTAGTGATCATGGTAAGCATTACTTGTTAATTGCAGGATATTTGCATGCTGCTATCTGGTAGTGATTTTGCTTTCATGGTCAGGATCAATGCCTTGGAGCTTGTGTCATCCTGGATATCTTTATGAAGTTAATACTGTTTGTCTCTTTCTGTAATAGGAAATTGAATTGTTGCCCCTATTATTAAAAGAAGAAAAGTATAGACATGTGCATTGGATGTGGGGACTGGGGAAGGGGATAGCAGTGAGGTATTTTCTTCCATTGAGCATACTTTTGTTCCTTCCAAAGAGAAGTAACAATACAATGTCTGTGCAAAATATGAGTTAGGACTAGTTTTGGGGCAATTAAACCAACCATCTTATCTCAAACATTTAAAATTTCTTGTCTAGACCATTGTTAGGTATCATAAAAATAGTTTCCTTGAAATGTGTATAATTTATTATCATAGACGAGTGGTGGCCAACCTATGGCACGCGTGCCACAGCAAACACACAGAGCCCTCTCAGTTGGCACACCAGCCATGTTGCCCCAGAATCGCCCCAGCAGCCGAGCATCGGATAACAGGACACATACAGGCCATGCGCATGCTCAGAAAGGAGTGGCGGCGCCAGGCGATGACATCACAAGCTATGACTCGTTAGCTGCAACTCATCCTAGCTTTTACATGGTTGGTCAGTTCACTGCCAAGGGTATATGTATATGTATATGTATGCTTGGACTGGCTGTGAGTTGTTTTTTCAAAACAAAAACCTCAGTTTTCAGGTTTTATCACAGTGTTGGCACTTTGCCATAAATAAGTTGGTTTTGGATTGCAGTTTGGGCACTCGGTCTCTAAAAGGTTCACCATCATTGGCTTAGAGTTAGAAAAACGAGGTGTCCTGGCATGATTTTGATGGTTGGAATGTGTTTAGAATGGGCAAAAATGATAAGCTGTGCAGAAAAAGCTACTCAAGGAAGGCTTTTTCAAAATTGCCCCTTTCAATGGTGTTTTACCCCTATATTAGGGTTAGGGGAGTGCACCAGGGTAGGGTTAGGGCAGTGATTGTGAAGCTATGGCACGTGTGCCACAGAGGGCACGCAGAGTCCTCTCTGTCAGTAAACAAGCCAAGTCGCCCCAGCATTGCCCCAGCAGCCAAGCATCGGATAACAGCGCACCTAGGGGCCATGCGCATGCTCGGAAAGGAGTAGCGGCGCTAGGCAACGACATCACAAGCCTCGACTCATTAGCCACAACTCATCTGAGCTCTCACATGGCTGGTCTGTGTGGTCCCAAGGTTATATACTTATTTGCCTGGCCTGGCTTCGAGTTGTTTTTTTAAAACTAAAACAACAGTTTTCAGGTTTTATTGCAGTGTTGGCACTTTGCGATAAATAAGTGGATTTTGGGTTGCAGTTTGGGCACTCGGTCTCTAAAAGGTTCGCCATCACTGTCATAGACTTCCTCCTAGATTCACAAAGATTGTGTGTATGCAAGCATGTGCAAGGTTTGATTTTAATACATTCCATTGATAACCACAATGGGGTGGTCACTGACCTTGAGCCAGACATCCTGGAATGTGAAGTCAAATGGGTCTTAGGAAGTCTGAGCAACAACAAAGCTAGTGGAGGTGACAGTATTCCAGCTGAGCTATTCAAAAACTTAAAAGACGATGCAGTAAAAGTGCTACACTCAATATGCCAGCAAACTTGGAAAATTCAACAGTGGCTGCAGGATTGGAAAAGGTCAGTTTACATTCCAATCCCAAAGAAGGGCAATGCCAAAGAATGTTCAAACTACCATTGCACTCATTTCACATGCTAGCAAAGTTACGCTCAAAATCCTACAAGCTAGGCTCCGACAGTATGTGGACCGAGAACTACCAGAAGGACAGGCAGGATTTCAAAGAGGGAGAGGAACTAGAATCAAATTGCCAACATACGCTGGATCACGGAGAAAGCTAGGGAATTCCAGAAAAACATCTACTTCTGCTTCAGTGACTATGCTAAAGCCTTTGATTGTGTGGATCACAACAAATTGTGGCAAGTTCTTAAAGAGATGGGAGTACCAGACCATCTTATTTGTCTCTTGAGAAACCTATATGCCGGTCAAGAAGCAACAGTGAGAACTGGACACGGAACCACTGATTGGTTCAAAATTGAGAAAGGAGTTCGGCAAGGCTGTATACTGTCGCCCTGCCTATTTAACTCATATGCAGAGCACATCATGAGAAAGGCGGGGCTAGATGAATCACCAGTTGAAATTAAGATTGCTGGGAGAAATATCAACAACCTCAGATATGCAGATGATACCACTCTAATGGCAGCAAGTGAAGAGGATCTAAAGAGCCTCTTGATGCGGGTGAAGGAGGAGAGTGCAAAAGTTGGCTTGAAACTTAACATTAAGAAAACTAAAATCATGGCATCCGGTCCTCTCACTTCCTGGCAAATAGATGGGGAAGAAATGGAGGTAGTGAAAGATTTTATTTTCCTGGGCTCCAAGATCACCGCAGACAGGGACTGCAACCAAGAAATTAAAAGATGCTTGCTCCTGGGGAGGAAAGCTATGGCAAATCTAGACAGCATACTAAAAAGCAGAGACAACAAACAAAAGTGCGTATAGTCAAGGCTATGGTTTTCCCAGTTGCAATGTATGGCTGTGAAAGTTGGACCATTAGGAAGGCTGAGTGCTGAAGGATTGAGGCCTTTGAATTGTGGTGCTGGAGGAGACTCCTGCGAGTCCCCTGGACCGCAAGGCGATCAAACCAGTCAGTCCTAGAGGAGATCAACCCTGACTGCTCTTTAGAAGGCCAGATACTGAAGATGAAACTCAAATACTTTGGCCACCTAATGAGAAGGAAGGACTCCCTGGAGAAGAGCCTAATGCTGGGAACAATAGATGGCAAAAGAAGAAGGGGACGGCAGAGGATGAGGTGGCTAGATGGAGTCACTGAAGCAGTTGGTGTGAGCTTAAGTGGACTCCGGGGGATGGTGGGAGACAGGAAGGCCTGGAGGAATGTTGTCCATGGGGTCGCGATGGGTCGGACACGACTTCACGACTAACAACAACATTATGTATCAAAGATGCTTGAAACTAGGGAGTATACAGTTTATGTGAAAAGGGCAGAAAGTAAGTAATAATGACATGTGTTGATAGTATTTCACCCATTGCTCAAATTGATGCAGTTGGCCGGGTGAGAATAATATATTTTCCTGCAGAATTAAAATATTTATGATGATTTTCTTGTATTATAGCTCTGCTGCAGGTGCTCGACATAAGTACAAGTAATAGTCCATGGACTAGGAGGATCACAGCCCAAAACAAACAGTGATCTGATTCATACAAACACTTCAACCCATCATGGCTTGTTAGTCATGGTGGGTTTTAGTGCTCCTTACATGGTTTCTCATGTCATCCAAGTGTCATTTGTTGTTATTGTTTGTACAATTTTACAACTAGCCATGGTTTGGGGCGGTTGGTAACCAACCCAACAAGCCATCCTTGTTGGGTTTGACTAACACATAAGCTGACCCAGCAAGGATAATTATGCAAATCAGTCAGACTATTCCTTCATGTGCAGGGTGGCTAGCAAGGCAGCAGAGCTTACGGAACACATGAACAGCGCACCTTTCCTTGACACCTTTCCTGGTTTGTGGACAGCTGCTCACTGGATGCTGCTTAATACATCATTACATCCCGAGTCTTTATGTCTGCTTTGATCAGTTTTAGTATTCAGGATTTCAGAGTATCTTACTAAAACTAACACTTCTGTACAAGGATGAACATTGGGCTGAAATCCATGAAATGTCTTTTGTATACTTTTCCTTTTGTTCTTCTTTTATCTAACTTATCCCTAAATTAAAGAATGACTGAGGTGGACATGGTATCAGTCTATAAGTACCTCAAAGGCTGTCACAAAGAGGAAGGTCAAGATGTCTTCTTGCTGATACAAGAGTGTAGGACACGGAATAATCAATTCAAGTTGTGACAACCCAGATTCAGGCTAGATATGAGGAAATGCTTCCTCACCGTCAGAGCAATACTACAGTGGAACCAGCTGCCTAGAGGGGTGGTGGGCTCTCCCACACTAGAGACATTCAGAAAGAAACTGGACAGCCATCTGAGTGGGATGGTGTAAACTGGTGTCTTGTAACAGCAGGGGTTGGACCCGATGGCCTTCATGGCCCCTTCCAACTCTACTATTCTATGAATGCGCTGCAAAATTATTGATCTTTTTATTCATTTACACTATCTTTACCCTGATCTTCACCTCAAAAAGTTTCCTAAAGAGGTGTACATAAATTAACAATAAGACATATAAATCAAGAGAAAACATGCTAAAACATGGTTTGTACCTATTGTAGTTTAGACTGTGGTTTCAGTGCCAGACATGCATATTTTGGAGTTTCCCTTATCTCAACATTCCAAACCATGATTTGTCAGTTGAAATGTAATTGCAAATGATGTTACCAACAAGTATTCTTTCAGTTCATGGATTGGTTCCTTAGAAACTATGGCATGTTGATTGAAACATGACAAACCATGGTTTGCCATGTTGCAAAAGAGAAGGTTATTTTATCTTGCACTTTGTAAATTAATAAATAGGCCATCCATTAATTACCTTTAGCAGATCAGATAACTGTAATGTAGCATACCATAGTTCAAATGTATTGGCAGTCTAAGAACCCTAACCCTATAAAGTCTGAAGTAATGTGGCCACTATCTTGAGTAGAAGATTCAAATGTCATGTTATTACACTGAGCATCCCACATCCTTTGAAAGCTGAAGCAACTTTCTCATGGAGCCGTTCTGAGTAGTCATTTACATTTTTTTCCTTCTTAAGCTGCAGTGAAACCATTGCCTACAGCAAAGTCAGAGGAGTCCATGGACATTTTGGGATTGCCTAAGAATTTAGACTCAGACAAGCAGGATCACAACAGAAAAGATAGCTTGGAAGAGAATACCTCTGACCCAAAAACTGATGATGTGAAAGGTAGGACCGAGTACCTTTCTGATGGGCCTGGTATAAGTAAAAATGGCATTGCTGCTAATGGCGACTCACCAGAAATTGAAAAAAGAACATGTTATCAATGCAATGGAGAAAGTGAAGAATCGGAGACAACTGATGTGGATACAAGAAATGTGTTGCAGCCACCTGAGAGAGATGTGTTGCAGTGCTCCATCAAACAAAGGCTGGCTGAACTCCATACATCCACAGATTTCAATTTTACTTCAGGTCTGGCTGCACAAGTTGCTGCCAGGTCACTCACATTTACAACCATGCAAGAGCAAACATTTGGAGATGAGGAGGAGCAGGAGCAGGAAGAGGAGCAGGAGGAAAAAAAATAAGTTTTTTTTTGAAAAACCCAAAGGGGACATAAATGACTAAAAATGAAAGATTATAGATCACCCATACTTGGCCTTTCTTATTGAACAGTACATATGGCTGGTGGAATAACAAAAGCCACACATGCAGATTCAGATGGAAAATGTGTCTGACAAAGATGAATTATGTGCCCCTTTAAATTTATGATATCAATTGGACATAAATAGCCTTTTGAAATATACACACATACAAATGTAAGTTGGACTCAAGATACATAGTATGGTTCTTACAGGTACCACAGATGACTGTGGCATTTCTTTTAATATTTTGTCTTTATTTATTTATATTACAAGACTTTTTTTCCTAACAGGAAAATAAAATTGTCTAATTGTCATTTCCTAAATGCTGATTGTAATAGAAACATTAATTTTAAAATAACTTGAAATGGTTCTTTAACAAGAACGTCAGCACCACTTGGTTCTCCTGTCAGCTTTATTTTCTGTTATTTATGTTTTATGGATTTTGTTGGTCTCTTTCTTCATTAGGCTCACAGCTTAACATGTTGACTATTTAATTTTTTTAAAGTGGAAGCCATAGCTTGTATATCCTGGGATGCTAATCCAAACCCAATACAAAGCAGCAAAGTACAATGCAAAACAAACAAACAAACACTTTTCAGCAGTTTTAACTTCTGGACCAGAGCAAATAAATTGACTCTATGTATTTACAGTAATGCTTTCATACTCCTAAAACATCAATCCCCAAGCCCCGCTTAAGCTGGTAGGGGAAATAAAACAAGTTATGACCAGGTTTTCCCTCTAGTGTGTTTGCTTGTTTGGTTTACTAATTTGATGAAAACCTTTTTACTTCCACAATAATTTATATCACATGACATCTGATTTCAGTCCCTAGTTTTGCCTTCTGAAAGTGCCTCCATCACAGGTAACTCAGTTTGGTCTACAATTGAATTTTCATATATTTCACCTTCCTCCGCTATTGTTCAAGACTAATTGTTTCAGCTGACTTGCCCAAATACTTGGGCTGGTACTGGGGAGCTACAGAGGTACAGCTTCAATACCTGCAGCTTGAAAAATGGTGCCCCCACATTAACTATTTTAGCAAAATATTCATATGGAACCATAGACATGTCATTAGCAGGATAAGATTAACTGTAATGCAAATGTTCTAAGACCTTTTTAATGTAAACATTTTGTATGGCTTTACAAAAACACACATTTCCCTTCATCACGAAGGGAAATAATTCCCTTAGATTCCTTTTGACGCATAAAGGAATCCCAACCTTTCTAGTCTGAAGACAAAATCCGATCTAGTTGTTCATTTTCCAAGGGTCATTTGAGGTACATGTAAATGCCTCTCAGCTGAAGCGTGTGTGAATCATACTGTCCATACCAATGTTTTGCTACTTTTCCTTCTTGAGCTTCCATGCTATCAAAATGCCATATAGTGGAATCTAGTGCACAGAGGTGCCAGGTAAAGCATTTACTATGTATCCATTCTCTGTATGTATCTCCCATGGTGTTCCATTAACTCAGTGTGTCTGGATTCACACCCAAAAGGAAAAAAAAAAAACATTTTAGATACCCTATCTGAGAAAAGGAGCATACGATACAAGGAAATTAAAGGGAAATCAAACTCTTGGCTCTTAGGCCTTAAGTAGGCTGCTAGCCAAAATGTCCAGTGACTTGAACCAGATGCTTCATAACCATCACTTACCCATCTACACACTGCACTGCACTGCACTGCACTGCACTGCACTGCACTGCATCATATAGGATTTGAAAGCCAGGATGTACTCAGGACTTTATGGGTTGCGTTCAGTTCAGATGGGCCACCAGTTTGATGGACCTGTACTAACAACATTTGGGCGTTCTGCAATGCGCTGAACAGTACAAGTGGATGCAATGTATTCTAACAGTATTCAACACTGCTGAATATTGTCAGAAACCAAAGAACAAAGCATTTTGCTGAATGATGTTTTAAGTATTTTTAGAACAAAATGAGCAGCCACCACCTAAGAGCATAGGCTGTATGAATTAGAGGCAATGTACAATTTAGAATAGATTGTTTTGTCCAATAAAAGCTCAGTCAGCAACTGACAAGCTTCCCACTGGTGTTAATGTAATAAGATGAATGGGGTTATGATAAATTGTGCATAGTCCTCACTGTGTACTTTCAATAAGCCAATTCCTGTATTAGAAGGACTTGTGCATCACCTATCAGAAAGATGTTTCTCATGAGAAAAATGTCCAAAGTAATAGCATGAGAAAGGGTAGGCTAACATGAGTGTTGCATGATCTTCTTTGTGTTTAATAGAATCTCATGTGTGTGAAATTTAGCAAGCATGACTAGACACTTGAGAACTCTTGAACATTTCAGTATAACAAATCTGTGTTTACATAATCCTGATTAGGAACTTCTAATGTGGTGGATCACACCAAGAGAAAACTAGTCCAGCATTTTTTGCAAGAATTGTAGCAGCCAAGTGGCACTGGGTGTTTCTCCCTGAAATTGAACAATAGACCACTGTCTACCATCAGCTCACCTCTGCTATAAGGAATGTTGCTATTTTTCCCTGAAGCTATTTATTTGGAAGAGCTGCTGGTTATGTGTACAAATTGTCTCCATATCCAACATCTACAGCAGTTTTTGTATATGTTCCTTCATGGATGCCTTGTAACACATACATGATGTGAATGTCATTCTTGCATCAAAATAATCATGAATTAGGTCTCTGTATTTATCTTAGAAAGTAGTCGTAGAAGTAAAACATCAGTGAATGCAGATCAAAGTGGCCACATTAAAAGTTGGGAAAATGGGGAAAATGTATATTATAAGTGTGCAGTTTCCAATTTCCAGTTCTCAGCCTCCAATCCCTGTTTTAGCTAGATTTTGAAGTATGGGATATAATCAGCTAATTGATTGTGATGTCAAAGCATTAGTCAGTTTAAATGTCTGGTCCATTTAAATTATTTTTATCCAGCTCCAATAAGTAGCTTCTGGCAGAACAAACATCTATTTTTGTTAAGAAAGGGTTTGCACCCAGCTAGTAAACCTCTTGTATACCAAATTCTGTAGACATTGGGTTCTGAGATTCTGTATCTGCTCTAGACCTCCACCATAAACTTGTTGTGTTAGGAAGTAAAAACTTACTCCAGGCATACACATGTGATATTCTAGAAGTTTAAAATCCCAGGAAAAACTCATTTCCAGCTTCTTCTTCTTCTTTTTTTTTTTGGGGGGGGGGGAGAAAAACTCACTGTAATTTGTAGGGGGGGGGTTGAAAGATATGCAACACTTATATTTAAACTGTACAACTTTTAAAACATATTTTATATATCATTTAGCATATTATATTGTGACTTGCTATACTTATACAATTTAATAGTGTTTATGCTTTAATTTTATTCATACAGTTAAAGCTATAACTAGGGCACGGTCCTGTGGCTGCTAGACACTGTCTAAATGACAATAAAAATAGCTGTAGCACCAGCCCAGGAAGTCTTCCTTTTTCCTTGCAGCTCATGCAGTTCTTTCCATGCCAGTGGCAGGTCTGAAGTTGCAAAGGAGATGAAGAGCCAGCACTGGAGGCAGAGGGAGGGTCTTGGAGAACAGGATAAGCAAGGCTCTGCTGGAATATGAGGAATCTTGGTGGTGCCTCAGCCCTTCTTCTTCCTAATGAATGGCGGCAAAACACTTAGGGCATAATCTAATGTCCTCTAATGAAAATCTACAAGCTCAGAGGCTTTTGTGGGTCTAAGGCATGAAGCAAGACACCACTGCAGCAGTGATCTCCACTACTGTATTTCCACATGGCTTGTATTTCATCTAGGCAGCTCTTTTTGGAATGACTTATGCCATCAGCCCCAACTTTCTCACCTTTTCACCCCCGGCATGCCCCCTTTGCCTCCTTTCCAAGCCCAAGTGCCTCCACAGGGAGGTAGCTGGTGCACTTCTGCATTGACTGCAAAGGTGGGGCACTACAGTGCCTTGGCCTTTGGAGCCCTCATATTGCAGAACTTGCAAGCAGGAGCTCTAGATAATCCTTTGGCCTCCCAAATTGGCAATCTAAATGTTGTGGGGGGTGGGAGGAGCTCTGAGAGAGGCAATCCTTGCCTCCACGTTTCTTCTGCCTTCCATTGGATGTCCACAACTTCTCTGCATTTGGGGGGTGGGGGAGGGTGACTAGCAGAGCCATTAGATCATAACCCTAACAGTAGATATGCATCAACTTATCAGTTTATTCCAAAGTACCTACGGCTTCAGTCCTAAACATGCAGGACAGGAATACATACTATTGAATCAGAGGGCCTACCCCTGAGTAGACATTCCTGAGATTGTGCCACAAATTAGATTTTGTCCATTGGGAAGAAAAACTCAATTAATTTGAAATAATCAGCACATAAACAAATGTTATATTATTTAGGCATAGTACATAATTACAATGCATAAACCCACTCTTTTAGAACATGAAGTAACCTATAATTAATGCAGCTGCAGCAATGTATATGGATATTTGGTAAGAGCATGATCCAGTATCCTCTGCCCTTGATGCTCATAAGCCTCCAAAGATGGAGCCTTATATGTACCTCAACACCATCCGCCCCGCCTGCCCAATCACCAATGCCTTCCTCATTGCAACAAGAAAATGCCAGAGCAATTTCCCTCTCCAGATGGGCAGGATGGGAAGACCTGCTTTGGGGGCCTCCCTCTCTCCCCTTTTGCTTCCTCTCTCTCTATGGTGATGACAATTTCCTGCAGTAGGCCTTTAACTCAATTTTTTTAATTGATAGGCTTTATGGCAGTTCACTCGTAAGTATGGGTGATTTGTTACTCAAACATTCATAACCCAGGGACTGCCTGCAGAACCTTAAATAGTAGCCTAATTCAAGCTCTTATGCTGTTTTTTAGTTTCCCTTCAAACATCAATTTCAGACTTCAGAAAAAAGCAGAATCTCACCACCATGTGTTTTCTCCCCAAATATTTTGTCACTGCTATTTTTCACTGTTATGTAGTGGTGTTCCTGCAGTTTATGATGGGTTTTCAGGCAGTTCAAATATATTGTTTCAACACCAGTGGTCCATCCTGGCTCGAACAGGTGTTCATCAAGTTGGAACTCAATATCAGTGTAATTGTTTCTGTTTTCCAGAGCAGGTATCTCCATTATAGAAGCTGAATAATTCAAACTTATGAATACTTTGACTCATGATATATTTCAAAATTAAAAACTAAGCAAAATGTGCAAATATACAGCATCAATATATCCACAAATCTTAACAAGTGTACCTATGAGAATTTCCTAAGAATATTACTGTAGAGCCTTAAAAATTCTCAGAAAATGTTAATGTAGGCTCTTAAGCAGGAAATGCCCCACAGAGCTCCCAAGTGCAGTTTAAACTGAGCTCAAAAAGCTTGAGAAAGTGGGCAAAAATAGTTCCATATTCTGCTTTTAAACTATTTTGTGCAAAAATCTGCAAATCCTTTTCTAAGATGGGAAAGCTATAAAGAATAGCAGAAAAACTGGGGAGGAATCTCAGTAATTTCAGCTGTGTGCATGTCTCTTAACATCATAACCATTTCAGATTAGTAATTCCAACTATAGACATATAGTCATCATATGCCTGATCTGCAGGCAATTGCTCCATACTGTGCCAGTCTAGCAATGCTCACAATGACAAGGAAGCTCTCCAACTATTAGTACAAAACTGTGTTTAGACACTTTTCCTAAAGAGAATTTACTCTGATTTGCACCAGCTTTTTGGAGTATCTTCCATTTATGACATAGTTTATTCACTATAAAAATACTGTTATCCTAAACAATTTGTTCTAAATGCGCCAATGACCCTGTGATGATTGGCTGTCTTGAAACAAATGATCAACATTGCACCTGAGAGCACCTTCACTCTTGCTTCATGCCTTGGGTTTATCATCATCATCATCATCATCATCATCATTTTTGGTAGCAGCAAAGTGCCTCAGATAAAAGTCTGGTTGGTCATGCTAGACATTACTTTATAAATCATTGGTTTTAATTCTACCTTCAGAATTCTTCTGATTTGAGTCATCTTGAAAGATAAGATGTCCAAATTTGAAGGGACCCAATGGTGTCCAGTAGCAAACTGAGAGGCTCATTATTTTCTGACTGCAGCCTGTGAAATTTTATTCAAGGAAAGGAAAACAATTTTTTTTCTACTACCTGCCAGTGGCATCACAAATGTATCTAGAAATATCTTCTCAAGTGCTTGCTTGAGTATATTCAGGGTAAGTCTGCAGGCTTTTTTCAAGAGAACTAGAATGCAAAAACAAAGAGCCACAATAAATGTACTACAGTTATAACAGAAAACAAAGTGAACTGTGGTATCAATTATGCTAAACTTTGATATACATTGACTATCCTCTATTTTATGATTCTAGGTTATCACAGAACTGTGGATTTTTTTCTAGACTATCTTAGTTTCAAGTTTGCATTACATAATCATTATTTGACTAGGTACTTCATATAAGACCTAGAGTTTGAACCCAACAATGGCTGTGCTGTATCAGTTTAAAATGACAAGTCAGATTAGCTATTTTTAATCTTGATTCCTGGCCTTTAAAACATAAACCTCTGTATTTCAGGAATTCAGAAGACACACACATTCTTCTTCCAACATTTTAAAGCATTTGTTTTTATAGCCTTTGGACAGCAATCAAATGCCCACTTACCCATGAGTAAGCCCCACTGAAGACAATGGGATTTTTTCTGATGTAACAATGCCCTTCTGAGCATATTTTATTCATCTGTGTCATAGCAGCCAATTTCTACTGAGCTGCTGCTACTGCTTTTTGGCTATAGCATAGATCTTTGTGCTCAGCTGTTCTGAGTTCAGTAGCTATTCGTAGTTTTCCTTTTGGGTCCTGAACAGACATCTTCCTGACCATTTTAGCTTATCTAGAAGTGTTATACAGCCATAAATGTACTTGCAGTTAATGGAAATAATATTTTGAACACTTTTTAACTGCTCAAAGCTCTTCACTCACATTATCTCGATACGATCTTACAGATTCCCTCTATAATATCTTAAATTGTTTCTATCCAAATTATAGAATGGGAATGGGGTTACAGAAAGCCTAGTGTACAATACCACATTTTAAATTTTAACTAGACAAGCTGGTTACATTAACCTTTGAAAAATCACCTGATAATGCTTACAGAGTCTTGTGGGAGTCTAGGCTAGCAAATATATCCTGGTGAATTTCACAGACACTTCACTGTTATTCAGTCTCCTCTCCAGTGGTTATTTATTATATAATAGAGTAACACAGTTACTCCAGTGGACTTTGCAAATATTGTTCTTTTGCTTTAGAATTTGGTATAACCAAAGTAAGTATAGGAACATTTTAATAGCAATTTAATTAAACTGCCATTACATTCACAACTTCAGTTAAAGACACATTCAGTGTGACTGAAGCCCAATAAGGTACCCTGATGAGCTCTTTCCAAAGGTCTTCACCTTATTTTCTTACTACTATGGTTCTATTATAGCCCCCTCCCACTCCACGATAGCCCTTTGGTTCCTCTATTTTGCATCTTAAAAACCTACTATTTACCATTGGCATATCCTGATTCATCTCTTATATGTACTTTTTCTTCTCAAGCATCCATAACACAGTGCCTGTATTTTGAACCAGCTTTTCTTTATTGTAAAATGTTATACTTTTTCTTATTTTTGCCAAATGGGGGGGCATAAGAGGGACAAATATATGCTTTACCAGCACTGCAGTTATTTTGTTTATTAATATGGATGCTTGTTTATAACTTGACTTTCCTCTGAAGATGAAGTTCTTGCTAAATGATCTTGGCAATAGCTAGTTTATGCAGTATACAGTGCTGGCTCACTGTTGCAGGCACTTTACTAATGAACATTGGTTACTCCTGCCCATATGCCTGCTGACTGGAAACTGAGTATTTTTTCTCACATATTACATCCACAGGATTTAAGTTGAAATCTTAAAGGGTCTGCAATAGTCCAACAGGAGACCTGCCTGTAAGGCCTCTGCCAGGAGCTTCCTGTCAGACTAAATGAAAAGCTTGCTGGCCAGGGGGTTAACCACTTGAAAGAAGCAGGATGTAACCGATGAAGCTGAGGGATAATTTTGATACCACAGGTATATGAATGAGAGGTTTGCTTCTGTACTCCTTGGTTTGTGGAGAAGTCCCAAGTACCGGCTTCATACAAAGGAGAAGCCAGCTTGGCCACTTTTCTTAAAACTTTGTATTACAGGCTATGTACAGACCGATCACTTATGCAGATTAATGACAGTTTTTACATACCATCTCCCAGTCTCCAAAGAGGTATCCCTGCACAGCCTCTCAAACAGTGGCCTGTGTGATCTTCTGGGAAAGATACTTTTCTCTGCAGGTTTAGCCAAAACTATGCGGCCTAAGTTTAAGCCCATGCATTTACATGTGAAGCTTCTCAGCCATATGAGACTATATGGTCCTTCTTTAACTCATTTCTGATATTGGTATGTAAGAGCAGAATTTACAATTTAATTATAACAACACATTGCTTGTAGGAGCAGGGTAGCTTCTTGTTTTTAGTCAGTAAATGGGGAAAGGATTTGCTAAACCCAGGGCAAATGAGGAGTTGTATCTATATTGAGTTACCCTCCTTAATTTCTGGTACATGTTCATGTCTATGCTTTTCATGTTCTTTTAATCATGTCTGTAAGCCCAATTTGATGCTGATAAGTGTATGGCTAGGAAAATCCTTTTCAGCATTTTTATCTTCCAGAATGTTTGTCCAATTCATTATCAAAGTATATACTGGAAAATACAGATATTATTTGATGAAGCGTAACACTACCATGTCTGACATTTCATTCTGTCCTCTTTAAGGAGTCATACTTCTTTCCTGTACTAATGAGAATGTTTGTGTGCATACGAAGACTTGAGATTGTAACTTTTAAAAAAGTAAAAATTCTATTTCCTATTTCTGAACTTCTCTATTAACTCTTCAGTTGCTTGACATATAAACTGTGTTTTTCTATGACTTTCTGAACTTCTTTCTCTCATTAAAAACTGTATTTCCCTCATCTTTGTGCTGCTCTACACTGTCACACTCAAAACACTGGCAAACTACTGGCAAAATCAGCTTACCAAGTAGCAGCCTTTTCCTTTCCTTCATTTTAAAGCTTTTGCTAACTTGCTAGCTAGCTGGCTGGGCATGCTGGAAAGCAAAGGAAAACCCACCAGACGCCCTGCCCTCTTCTTTTCTTTCAAAAGATGTTTTGAGGCCAAAGGCATGGAGGGAAAGGACAGGAAGAGATCTTGCTGGTGGGAAGCTAGATGGTGGTTTCTATTGTATGTAGTCTTTAAAACCTTTAAAAGGTATACTACTTTAAAAAAGTAAACTATTTGGAGGGGCAAGGGAGCTTAGCAGTGTCAAGGACCCCTGTACCACCCACAAGCATTGCCAAACTCAGAAATGAATAATTTTACATCCTGTATCAAATGCCCTTCTAGCAATAGAATAACTTACTTCGTAAATATGCATACCAAAGCCTTAGTATTGGTGTTCTTAACATTTAAAGTTGTGTAAAATAACTTAAAGTTTAATATATAAAGGTACCATTCATAGGTACCATTAATATATATGTAACCCTAAACCAAATGGGAATGGGCCTGAGTGCTTGTGCCCTGCCCCACCTCTGTCTTCATAGAGCCACAAAGAGACTTGCTTTTAAATGTGAGTTATAGTTATGTGCAACAGAGGCTTGTCTACAGAAATCAATTTCAAACCTTGGCCTACAATTCTGCTTGTTCTTACAAACTATAATTAAAACTGAGCACGGTTTCTAATTCAGATGTAACAATGGCAGACGGAGATAGAAGCAAATATTTCTTACTTCTTGCCTGTGCTAGAGGAGAAGCGGGAGACAGTAAATACTCCCATGGCTCACCTGGATAGTTTTCCTTTGTGCTGAACTATGAGTTAGTGTTGTGTCCAAATGGAGCTATAATTCCTCAGTTCTTTTTTCCACTCCCTAATACAAAAGCACATTAAAAACAAAATAGGCTGCAAAAATAGTGGCATTAAAGTGCAGCCACCAGGCCGATACACATGCCAGTTAATCAACTTATCATATAACATTTTAATGTACCAATTAACCATTGTGACCCTAATAAAAAGCTTGTTGCAGAATTTCAATCAAGGTGATTTAATTTTTTGGGCCATCCTTTTCATAAAAGGTGAGAGAGTAAAACAACTTTGAACAACCACCAACTTGTGCCCTTCCCAATCAAGACAGTGTCACATTCTCTATTCTGAAGTTCTGCAACGAACTACAATTAAAGGTACTGTGGATCCCAAGAATTGCTATATAGAGTATAATACCTGAATCTGTAATCAGGAGGTAAATAGTAGCCCCTATTGTAGTTGTTCCTGGTTAGAATAAATTGTTTCTGAAGGTCTTTCACTGATTTGCTGTATCCGTTGAAAATGTAGTTAGCGAAGAGCAGCTTTCCTTGAATGTACATCTACCAAAAATGGATTAAACGTTTTAATTAGGATGGAAAAGCCACATGTTACTAAGAATGTTGACACCTTGACTGAGAGCTGAAATGACCACCAAAGCACTCTGGCACAGGTGAGACTTGTAGGGGAATAGAACTCAATTCTGTCTGGAGACTACACTGGCAATTGGTTAGGGTGCATTGCCTCCTTGCAGGGCGTATTTCATAAACAGTACACTATGACTGAGAAGATGCACTTACAACAACATTCATTATTTTATTCAGGGGAGACCCCAGGGGGAAATCTGACGATGGTCTAATGCTTGAAGCAGGCAAATACAGGAAGAGAGGTCCCCTTAAATATTTTGGTCACATGCAATTTAGGACTTTAAAGTCAACATCAATACTTTGACTTGAGCTCAAAAATGGATGGGAAGCCAGTGCAACTGATAAAACATTAGCTTTGCCTGATCACATCAGTTCTAGCAGATTTGTTTGAATTAAATTAAGTTTCCATGCTGTCTTCAAAGTTGGTCCCACATTACAGTAATCCAAACCTGGAAGTTACCAGAGCATAGATAACAATTGCCAGGCACTCACAGCCACCAAGGCTTTCTTGTGCCTCAAGTAAGGGGATGCATCTAGGAACATTTCCAAGTTGTGCACATGATTTTTCAGGAGGATTACAACCCCGTCCAGAAAAAATTGAACACAGCTCAGCTGGGCAGGGAAACCACTCACTAGCAGTCTTATCTGCATTGGGCTGTAGTTTATTACTCCATTTCTTTGCTCAAACACTGATTCAGGAAATCCACTGCCTCATCTGGGTTAGGAGAGGTAAAGCTGAATACTGATAACGCCTCCACATAACCATCAGCAGAGATTTCATGGGAGATAAAATTGATCCCTGTGAGCAGTAATCCCCCAGCACTTCTGGAAATATCCAAGAACAGCACCCTGTAACTCAGACAGGTGATCCTGAAGGATACTAGGATTGATTGTACTGAAATGTGCTGAGAGAGCCAAACAAACTGACAGAGCTGCATGTACCCACCCCATATTACTCTGTTGGCACGAACATCCAAGGCAGTTTTTCCCCTAAAGCAGACCTAAAGACATCGCCTGAAATGGATCTAGAAAATCAACTTCATTCAAGAATGCCTGGACTGCCTGCTCAAGCATTTTGCCAAAGGGGAACTCAGCAACTGGCCAAAAGTTGTTCTGCATTTCTGAACCTGAGTTTGGTTTCTTCAATAACAGGCTGATTATGGTCTACTTCAAAGAGATCAGTATCACTCCCTCTCTGAAGGAGGAATTTATAACGTCCTGAATCCAAGTAGGCATCCTGTCCTTATTAGCTTTGATAACCTAAGAAGTGCAAGAATCAAGCACTACAGTGGATACAAGTGGGATGGAGCAAGTGTCCTATACTCAGAACAGGGGAGTGTTGCTCCAAGGAGAATGAGGTTTATTCCCTGTTCAGATTCTAGCCACAGCATCAAGGAGTCTCTTGCTTGGAAGAGATCCCTTCTCCTTTTTCCTACTGCCTGGTCATGACCTTAGAAATCTGTCCTCCCAAGTAGTTTTGGTAACACTAGTCCATGTTATGATTCCAGTAGAAATTATAATCCCAAACTGCGAACACTTTCTATAATTTTCATGCAAAGCCAGTTCAGAACCTGACATAAATTAAAAAGCAGTTGGCATTTATAGGGGAAGTCCATAACAGAGAGACATTTAAAAGGTGTGGTTTGGAAACAAAGTGCTGCATGCAAACATGTAGGGAGTTTTCAACTTGATCCTTTCAGTAGCAGACTGAAAACGTCAAAAAAATCTATCCAGAGCAGCATTCCAAAAGGCACATGCAGCTGCTTCTGGATGGAAAATTAACAAGTTGCCCAGTGCGCATACAGACCCCTTCAAACCGTGGCCTGAGCATGAGTACATATCTCCTGCTCGCTTATCTGATTCCCTGTTGATCTGTGTCTAAACTAGGCTGACAAGACAAGAACTGTAACAGGAAGAATAGCTGTAACCTACCAAAACCATACCAGGACTAATATTATGCCTTTCCATCAGTAACGGACCACAGTGATCTGTGAACTCATCTGCAGAGTTGATATCATATTTGAGCAGGCGAAAGGAGTCCAAACGACCCTACAGAACAAAAGGCAGCGTCAGCATAGGAACAAGTCAACAATGACCACAATGACATTCTACCACTTGCCAGAGCACAATGTTCCAATTCAGCCAGTTTGCATGAAAGGAATTGGTTTTTCCTGCTCTTTGCTGCTCAGACTGGCAACTGTCTCAAGTACACTTAACTTAGGGAGAGACATTCAAAGTTGACAAAATAACTCCCTGATGCATTCCCACCTCACCAAATTTACATAATTTATCACTGCTAGTTTAAATCAGGAAATTTCAGCATTCATGCTCAGAATGAGCTCTTCCATCTCAGTCTTAGTGCAATCTTAATACACACTTAACTGTAAGCTCTGTGATCAATAGGTTTAGATTTGAGTATGCATAGGACTGTAGTGCATATTTATTATAACACAATCCTACTACCCAAATCATGTAGAATGAAGTTCCATGGCCGTAAACAAAAATATTCCACCAAGCAATGGTAGAAAAGTGTATTGTTGTACCAAGGAGTTGTTTAAAAGGTTCTTGCTTTTGCAGCAGATGTTGGCACAACTGGGACAACAAAACCAGAGAGGCCCACCTGTATGCAAGGCATACTCCTGTTCTTGTTCCTTCTCTCATAGAGCTTCTCTAAGTGTTCGTCCATGCTGGCCTCAAGGTCTGTTGCTCTCAGTGAGCCAGTCACACAGACCACCATGATCTGCTCTGGGGAAGAGACCTGGTTGTTAATAAGCTCATTATACTCCAGGTCTGTAACATAGGGAATTTGATGGCTGCTGCATCTACAAGTCTTCACTTCACCTCCCAGCATTGTATTTCGGAGAGCTACAGGACAGGCCGCGTAGGATGCACAGCATGCCTTTTCACTGTCACTAGAAAACAGTGGAAGAAAGAAATGTAAATTTGAACAGGACTGATATCCCAACCTTCGGATCTTCCTGACAAACTCTCTCCCCTTTCCAGGTAATTCAAAAGGCCTCTGAGAAAGGATCTTTTCTTCACAGATTGCCTTGATTATCATTCTTCCTTACAGCTTTCTCCATGTATCTAAAGGATCGCCTCCTTCCCTATATGCCCTCATGCCTCTTAAGATCGGTGGGGGAATCCTAGCTCTGGGAACCCTCCTTGAAGGAAGTATGGAGGGTGTCTATCTGGAGGTGGGCCTTCTCCATAGTGGCACCCAGACTATGGAATGTACTTCCCAGAGAGGTCCGCCTGGTGCCGACATTATACTTCTTCCAGCACCAGGTAAAGACCTTTTATTCAACCATCATTTTAATAATCAAGGGTTTTAGATGTTTAAAAAAAAATCCTCTCCATAGTCGCATTTTCTATTCTTTTCTTCTCTTTTCTTTTTTCTAAGTTCATGATGTGTTGTTTTATATTGTTTTAATAATTGAGGTTTTATTATTGTATTGTAATTTTATATTGTGCAAGCCGTCCTCAGCGCTTGTGGGAAGGACAGGATATAAATGTTTGCAATAAATAAATAAATGAATGAATGACTAAATGTGCCTTCCCTTGAAGGCAGGCCAACATTTTGTCACTGCCCATCACTCCTCTAACTGTCCTACACGAGCTCCTGTGATACCAGCATCACCTTCCTTCTCCTCCCGCCTTTTTGCTTCATTCTTGCTGCTTTCTATGCCCAAGTAATCTTTCTCTTGCTGGCCATATCTATGCTATATGGATATATTTCTTTATACCCATTTATCTTTCAGTGCTTCCCAGAGAGTCCCCAAAATTGTTTGGTTTATTATACTGATGTTCTCATCTTCGTCTGTGCAGTTCACATAGGATTGAATTCCCTGAATGATACTTGGAGGCACTGGTATTTGTACAAATTCATTTGTATTTACTTCACCAAACAGCTCAGGCCAATAGATGCTGTCTAGCAAGCCAAAGGGAAAGTCAGAGTCCCCACTGCAACCCTGGGAAAGCCTTCCAAGTCCACCGTCTACCCTCACAGCCAGTTCATATGGCTCCAGCTGAAATAAATGCACTGGCTGAGGCTGCAGAGATGGAAGGTCTTCTGTGGGACAGACACTGGTGGGGTGTCCTGGGGGTGATGTGAGGAGGGAGGAGCAATGCTCAGCTGGCTGCCACCAGATCCAGGTGGTGCTTTAGCCTCTCCACATGAGAAAAGGAAAGCATTCAGAGCACTGAAATTAGCTGTCCAAATGTTTTTGAGAGGAAGGGGAATGTAGAGGTCATCCTTGCTTCTGCACTCCTCTCACACTCATTTAGATACTCATAGCCTTCCAAATTCAGAAACCCACAAAGAATTGCACCCTTACGATATGTCCAAGTCTTTCCTCCTACAGAAACTCAGTTCTCAGAGTCCTGAGAATAGGGAAAGATTATTAAATCGGTTTAAGTCTGCAATACGGACAGTGTTGGCATCAAGTGTAGGCATCTGCTGCAGGTCCACAATGCAGCAGGACATCAGAGACAACTGTGTGCTTATTCACCTGCCTCTTGCAGATCTGAGACAGTGGTAGTGGTGGTAAAAAGGAGACGCAGACGCCAACACCTGTTTGCTCACTGGCTCTACCAGTCATGCAATCAAGTGGTAGAAATGATAAGAAAAAAGGATGCAGCACTGCAAGAGCTGGTGGCACTGGCAGTGAGATGGCACACTGTGAAGGATGGGGACCTTTGAGGGTACCTTATCCAAGGATTGCTCAAAAGGACTGCTCACACCCATTCTCTCCTCCTACTCACACAATCCACTCTATTTCTCTTGAACTTCCACTCTTTGCTAGAAAACCTTTTCAGGACCTTTGCCACTTTATTGTTGCAGCTGATTATACAAGATAAAATAACTGGGAAAAGAATGTGGTGATCTTGGCTGAAAAACCTTAAAAATGGATTGAGGACAACACAGTACCATTGTTTAGAGCAGCCATATTTAAAACTCTTTAGTTAAGATGATGGCCAACCTTTTACAGGAGAGGAATGAGAAAAAGATAAATGTCTTTTATCTAAATAGTCTCCCTTCTAAATTATTTCCTGGCCTAACTGCACTTAGTGGGGCACTTTTGGAAATTGCAACTGGTGAGGGAAAGGGTGGCCCACTCCCCACACGGTGCAACCAACCTTGAAAATGCCTTCCTCCATGTGCTTGTTAGGCCTCCCAAGCTAAGCAACTGCTGCAGGACATGACAGTGGGGAATGTCTTTGTGTGACTGTGTGTGGGAATTGTGTATTTGTGGACATTTAATTAATAAAATTAATTTATAATCAGATGTACTCACCTGGTTTTAGGGGAGATTTGGGGTTTTTCTTTATTTAAGCTGGAGCAAGTAATGAATGACTGATTTGTTCTGAAGATTATTCTTGATAAATGGGGAGCTCTACAAGAGAAGTAACCATAAATCAGATAAACATGTAAATGTAAAAAAAGAGGTATACCACAACTATTCTACAAAACTAAGGTTATAGAAGTCTATTTCTTCAGGTTAATTTATTTAATTTAGGGTGCAATTGTATGCATGTTGATATAGAAAAGGGGCCTACAGCTCCCAGCATTTGCCAGTCAGCATATTTTCTCTGTTTGAATTTGTATAGGATTGCACCTTTGCTTCAGTATTAGGCAGCATACAAATTGCCATATAAACAAACAAACAATTTGAAATTATGTTTAAGGCATCTTACACTGTTTCACACATATCTTTAGTGGACACACACTGCATATTTAGCACACTAGAATTCCTAACACACCTGTTCAAAGGAGTGTAAAATCCAGCCATGTAGAAATGGTTCCCACTTCACCCTGGTAACTTATGCATGGAAAGTAATTGTGGTACAGATCAGAAATCAAGCTTATATACAGAACACTTAGTCTAATTAAAATTTGTCAGTCCTTCTTAGTGATAGTACACATATCAGTAATGGCTCCAGATCCACTCCGGGATAGTTGAACAGGTATTTCTAGCTTCTCTTGAATTGCTGATTTGAATATTGGTTTCAAGGGAAGTGATAGGAATCATTTCCCCACCCACTGATGGCAATCCTGATAGCTTTGGGTTGTTCTGAAGGAGTTTGTCCCATTTCGCTTACAGCTGTTGTGAAAGATGCAGCAAGTGACATTCATGTCTGGTACAAGTTCTTCTAATGCATCCAGAAGTGTGTAGAAAAAGTGCCACTGTAACTTTAAGCAGCCAAAAGCACATTATAGGGAGTAATTCAAGCTTGCTTGTTTGCTTGTTTAACCATCCTTGTAGCTTGGTACATTGCCATAAGCCACAGTTGAAGTGCAAAGGCCTGTTTACCGAGAATAAATGGTAAACAGAGAGCTATTTACCTTTGTGGGCAAGAGGAAGCTAGTCAACCATTTCGCCTGCTATACATGAGTTCAAGGGGATAGTTATAGTACGTCTTTTCCCTGAAGCCCCCTTTAAATGTGCATTAAGCCCTGTGTAGAATCCACAAGCACCATGAGGGACATGCCATAAAAGTATTTATGGTTACAAGGTAGGCACCAGAACAAGGTTCCAGAATGCACATGAACAGTGTATAGTTTTGATGGGAATGCAAGTTCTGACAGTGAAGACAAAATGGTTGTGGAATCTCAACAAGCCCCAGTATCAGATCGAGGTCAAGGAATGTTTGGGGAACAAGAGGGGGAATTGTGTAATGACCAACCAGCCAGTGACAACGATAGCAGAACAGGAAGAAGAGTTGACAGCTGGGGCTGATGAGAGTCCTATTCTACCAATAGTGGACCAGGAGGAGGAGATGGTGTCTGGGCAGGTATCAAAGCAGGAGCTGAGCACTTCCCTTTAGATGGTGCCAGCTGCTAGGAGACAGTATAGGTGGAGATTCAGTTAACTGAGAAGCAGGAGGATTGCAAAAGGACTTTCTGTCTCCTATGTGGGATCCCAGGTGCTGTATGGGCAGCAGAGGACGTAGAAAGCAAACTCTGTGGGCAGCAACTGCTAAAGCACCTGCAGAAACTGTTTCTGGCTTGAATATGAGTTCTCTCTGTATTGCTGTAACAAAGGTTCCAGTGACTAGGAGGAATTGTGGATGGTGTTCATATTGGTATCTTTCCAATGCACAAATGAGAAGGAATTTTACACATGACATTGTATTAAGGGATTGTACAACAAGAAGTTTCAAGCAACTGTTTCAATTAAATATAGGTTATTATCTGCAGTATTACCTTTGGGAAACATTGCTGCTGGGATGGTGGAGAAAGGGTGACTTGAAGACATGGCTGAAATTGACAGAATAACAAGCTACTTCAAGGTTTCCAAACAGATAATACCCAGCTGGTTTACATAGATTAAAAAAAACACTTCACCAACAAGAGAAGAGGCAAAAGACTGTGGGAAGTAAGGGAGCAAAGTGCCAAGGAAGAAGGGTGGTGTGGTTTGGTGCAGTGCAATATAATGCTAGGCACACTTTGGAAAGCAAGAACACTCATGAGGAAAGGAGCAGGAATGTTTTTGGCCACTTTTGCCTTAAGACTCCATTTTCAAAAAACAATGATCTTTTGAAATCCTAAGTCTCCTAAGTTCAGACAACATGGCAACATACTGTGGGTGTGAAAACACCTTGAAAAATCATGGGTTCTCAGGGTAGCTTGTTCACAAAAATTAAAACTACTCCACATTAGACTTCCAGTGGCTAGCTGCCCATAACTGGTTTTGGTGTCATGCAACCCAGGTCAACCTTAATAGAGCAGAATGCTAAAATGTTAACTTGCTATTGCAAAATAGTTAGGCAGACTTAGCAGTAGATGTTTCTGGCTTTTACCTGCAAGAAGTAGATGATACATTGTGTTGTAATAAATGCCTGCTAACTGAAGCAGACTGGAATGGAACTGGATTGTCCAACACAGAGGCCTTATTGCTGTTCTTTTCTCCCTGTGTTATTTGGGGATTTAGAGAAGCATCAGCCAGCTGCATTTTGCACCGTCCCCCTCTCTGAAGGAAGGTTGAAGTTCTTTGTTTATGACATGACTTGATTTCTGAAATACAGTATGCCAGAAAAATTAAACCAGGTATCTAAACATAAACAGAATCTTCCTGCAACTGAGACACTCAATTTAGGAAATTAGTTGTCTGCATGTTTCTGCACCAAAAGAACTGGAAAATGGAGGAGAACTTTTCTCTTTAGTTGGAGTTCTTTCCACTTATAGAAATGTTGGTCATTTTGTTTTTCATTCATAAGAATACAAAATGTGTTTATTTTGTATTGGGCTGGATCCAGCCTGGTAGAAGTAGCATTTCCTGCCCATCCTCCCCACAGCAACTCCTCAAGTCTTCTGAAAAAGCTACACAGAATCAGGGAACCTTGGAGAGCTGTGGTGTATACAGGGGAGATCTCAAAAAATTGGATGGAGGGACCTTCTGCACAATGTCCCTTTCTGCCACAGAAGGATCCACCCCATCATGAATAAAGAATAGCATTTTTCAGCTGAGACAATACTGAATCTCAGGAGAAGGGGAGGGGGTATAATTAACATTTTGATGAAAAGCCTTGAAAGATTATTTTGCCATAGGATAAGACTAGTTCAGAGAAAAGGTTGGGCCCCAGAGTCCACCAAGTTCATCAGCCCCACTCATACACAAGCAGCTTTCTTCCTTCGCCTTGGTTCAGACTTTCACCACCAGAAGCTTCTCCTCCTTGCTTTGGTGATGGGAAACTCAAGTCTAAGTTAAAACTCAACCCCGCTTAAAAGTACAAAGTATTCTTCTGCTATATAAAATCAATTCCCTGGTGGAGATGTAGGGTCAGAGAGTTCCGTTACTCTGGGACCCAAGGTAGTTGCTTAGTTCATACATATATGTATATTATGTGATTTCTCATCGTATCATGTTCTATGGCTCACAGCTAAATGTGTAAACTCTATTTCAAAATTGTGCTTCGGCCTTTTGTTTCTATGTTTATCTTGTTTTTCAGACAGAGGCATGTTTCCCAAAGCAGTGTATGACAATTAAATTCAATAAATTCCACTAATTGTTGTTGCTCATAAATGAAGTAAGTATACAAAACTAACATCTCAAAACATTAATATGTTTAATAATATGCATATGAATTTAGAAATCTTAACATCCTCCTCCGATAGTCATGTTACTAAATTAAAGACTGACCAAAAGCTACCCAGTAACATTTCATCCAGTCTTCCAAGATGGTCTTGATTTTACACTTCAGCTTTCTTAGTTCTATTGTAGCATTCAGGTCTTTCACATGGCCTTGATCCCCTGTTGGAATGCCAGGTATTTTTGTCTCCTTTGATAAATATATGATTGAAAAAAAAGATTGCAAAAAGCATTATATTAAAATTGTCTAACAAAACTCTCAGTTATCATGAGTTCTTAAAAAGCAGGATTGGGCTAAGATTATCATTTTACCATACTGGAGTAATGCTCTTTCTACAGGATAACAAAGGTACGCAAACTAGGGAACTGGGCTTCTTACATGAACTCATTATCTTTGGATGATGACAATGTCAACATCTGACTCCTCTCTAGCACTGAGCATTTCTTTCTTCCTCTTTTAGAAGAAGTCTATTGCGGCAACTGTCTCCTACCTTTGTGGTGGCTCTAATTCAGCAATTGCACTGAGCTGCTCCAGCAGCAAGGCTGATCGCTTTCTTTCCAGAGCGTGCCTGCAGTGGCTAATTCCATTGCAGCACTTATGTTTTTGCATATGTAATTCATTCATAGCCCAGAGCGAAAATGGCTGCTAGATTCCTGTCTGGGCACCATCTCAATTTCTTTGCTTGAAGGCAATAAAGTTATTTATTTATTATTAGATTTATATCCTGCCTCTTTAGCCAGAAAGGCTGTCTAGGCAGGTTAATTTTCAAAGGAACAAGAGCATTGTTGCTAAGTAACCAATCTATATCTACAAGGGAAAAAAGTCGTCTGGCCCTTTTGGTCTCAGAGATATGGGTGCATATGGGCATCTAGGCCTTAAGGCAACAAAGATATGGGTTCATTATGATAAGGCTGCTCTACTGTACACTACTCTAGAGCTAGTTTCAGCTACTTTCAGCAGAGTATAAGATGGCTATAAAGACAACTTCGGTCCCTTAAGTGCTTCTTTAACATGATCTGCCTTGTTGCAGTCACTTGCCAAGGTAAAAATACAGGACTAACCAAATTCTCTACAGAAGCTAGAATCTCAGAATGGAGGAAGGCTAACACTGAGGAATGTCATAGATTAGGAGGAAAATGTTGCAAATTAATTTATGTCTAAAAACTAAAATGCTGCCTCTAGAAAAGTGTCAGATTTTGGTTCTTCTGCCTGCCTAACTTGGGAATTTTAAAACCTGCTTAACTGCTGAGATTTGTGGTGCTAGATAATCCAAGCATTAAATGACTGAAATATTATGCTATATACAAAAGAGCATGTCATATGTAAAGCATTAAATGTCCAAGTTAAGCCATTGTTTGAATTAAATAAAGTATATACAACCACATTAAAAATGTTATTTTTTCATCAATATGAAACTAGTCACTAGGATTAACTGCTAGTCTGACAATTTCCACGTAAAACAAAATACATTTTAAGCCAGATGGTCCTAAAATAGTACATATATTGCTATCCATGAATCTGTATTTTAAATTAGAGCTATAAAATTAAATTTTCATACAAAACTGGAGATAATGTGCTTCAAGAGACAGTGATCTGTTAAAGTGTACACACTTGCATAATTCCAATAAATATTATGCCAATAAATGTCGAGGAGGCTTAATGTGACACTTCTATTGCAATCTAGTGATACATTCTAGAAGTTAATGATAATGTACACTGTTATTAAAAGCTTCTTCTGTTTAAAATATCCTACTATATCTTCCACTGCTTTGCAAAAGACAAACTGAAACTATTTTTTTTTACTGTTTTATGCATCCACTTATCATTTTCAAAATCCAACAGTGTTAAATTGCTTAGCTAGGGCAGTATGTGGATGGATGGATGGATGGATGGATGGATGGATGGATGGATCTACAATCCTACTTAATATTGACATCAATGCAACTTAGATGCATAGACTGCACTGTTAAAATCCCTTTCCCCTTTTTTCAGGCTTAGGGTGAAATCCTATTGCATGTTTAGACAGAAAAAAGAACTTCCAGCATTGCTGGCCAGCCATGGATGGTCCCTTTACTGCAATTCCTGCAAGAGTAAATTTGGAAGTTCCGGAGAGTGATGTTAGCCCATCTGCCTTTCTTATCCCAGCTTCCTTTTTGCCTTATGCTTTATTTATATTATTTAGAGCATTTTTACCCCATCTTTTACAAAAGTCTCAGGACAACAATACAAACAGTAACAGCAACATACAATAGAATATAGATCTAATAAAGCCAATATTAAAATAACAATTAATTCTTAAAATACAGGCAAAATAAAAAGGGACTGGCCTGGCACTGAATGGTTGGTGCCAGGCGCACCTCTCTGAAGAGCAAGTTCCAAAGCCAGGGTGCCACTGCAGAAAAGGCCCTTCTCTGGGTAGCCATTCTTCTGATTTCCTTTAAAAAGGGTTCTCAAAGAAAAACCTCAGACCTGGATCTTAAGGGACAGCAGGTGCATGCAGACATTATGCGGAATGATGTTATTGCATCCCAGATTAAGCAAAGTGCAACACAGATAGCTGCAACACTTTCAAATCTACCCTTCATTATACTGAGCAGGTCAAAGCAAGTCCCTAGGACAGTGGCGGCGAACTTATGGCACAGGTGCCACAGCGGGCTCACAGAGCTCTCTCTGTCGGCACGTGAGCCAAGTTGCCCCAGCATTGCCCCAGGAGCTGAGCATTGGATAAGAGCAGACATAGGGGCCATGCACATGCTCGGAAAATAGTGGCGCCAGGTGATGATGTCATGAGCCGCGATACATTGGTCGTGATTTATCCGAACTTTTCCATGACTGGTCAGTGCGCTGCCAAGGGGGGGGAGGGAGAGAGAGAGAGAGGGAGAGAGAGAGAGAGGGAGAGAGAGAGAGAGGGAGAGAGAGAGAGAGATTTGCTAGGACTGGTTGTTTTCAGGTTTTATTGTAGTGTTGGCACTTTGAGATAAATGTGTTTTGGGTTGCAATTTGGGCTCTCGGTCACTAAAAGGTTCACCATCACTGGGTTAGGGTTAGAAAAACTAGCTGTCCTAGTATGA